GTTCTCTTCCTTTCTTATTTTATCATAGTGTGGGATTGCCTTAGTTCAGGATTTAAATAGATGACTTACACTAACTATCTGCAGGAATATCTGTGTAATAAAAATGCTAGTGGTTACTCGTGTCAGCTGCCCCGGGTTCTTTAACCTGCACACTGGACAGTAATTATGTACATTAAGTAGCAAGCTATTTTCCAGCTAATTACCAATTCTCTTAGAAAAAGGATGTTCTGTTCTGGAAAGATACTCTGTGATGGAGGCACTGTGAGGGCCATCTCTGCATCACTGAGCACTGATACCATTCTCATATGTGCATTTGTTGCCTCTTTGTTTTGCTCTTCTTAGTGGAATTATGTGTGTTAGCTGTTTGTTTGCTTTTGTCTACAGTACATTCTAAGACTGTAATTCACGAGATGTCCTGCATCATTGCCAGATGTCTTAAATATCTCTGTTTACAAACCTATACTATACCTTTACTGTGCCTAACAGGGCACCTTTGCATTTACTGAAGTTAATAGAGTTGGCCTGGAACTATGGGGGTATTCTGAATATACTTGTAATGAGGATATGTATTTTCTGCCACAACCAAAAAAACCTTTCTAGAAATAGGGAGATAAATTAAATATCTCTGCTATTAACCATGTCTGTCATAATGCAGGACCATATTAGCAGTTAGGTAATAGATGTTGGACTTTGCTCCGGAGCTGTGTTCCTCTAGTGTTGAATTCAAATCCATGCTTTCATTTCCAGCTGTGGATGTGGTGAGAGCATCACTTCATTGTGAGCAAAATTCATCTCAGAAATGCTTTCTGCCTATTGTTGTTGTGTTTTGGTTTGGTTTTTTATTTAATCATCTCAAGATTGTCACCTGTGTGCCATAGCCAGTACAATACCCACCCCTTCCAGCCATTTCAGCACTGACTGCAATATTCAGCAACGTGCCTTAGATTCATGTGTGCACGTATTTGTAAAGTCAACATGGTAATGTAGTTGGGGTGGAGGAGGAAGCATCTGAACCGAGAACATTAGATAGTGGTATTAATTTATTTGCAGATTGTCTGTTGAGACTGATGGTACAGGATGTTTAGGCTGGGTCTTTCCCATGCTCTGTAGTGATACAGGCTCTGCAGCATGTGCTTTATGAGACTCACACCTGGGAGAGACGCTGAGATAGTTGTTTATGAACCTCAGCTTTCCTGTTCTGTCCTTCAGATGCAACCCATTAATGTGTGATGGGAGCCACACTTGGATTGTGTGCTGGAAGGGGGCTTGTATGCTGCTAAACTAGTCCTTTTAGAGAAGCTCCCTGGTTTATTCTGGGGTTTTCTGCTCCACATATAAATCCATGGGGAGACAAAGGCAGTGTTTCAGAGCAGGTATTGCTCCATGTCATCATGACCCTGAATAAAACCTCAAATTCACCTCCTCAGTGAAGGTGGTTTCTGTGTGCTGTCAGCTAACCACTGTTGAACAGCTGTCAGAAGTGGTGCAGAGAGGAGTTTAAAATTAAGCTTCCCAGAATAACCACACTGGTCTTAGTACAACGTTCCCTGTATCTGCATGGTCCACTCTCATGACTAATCACTTGTACTGTGCTCAAGGTTTGGAAAAAATATTTTTTTTCCCAGCATGGCAAACATTTGCTTTAAAGTTCATTCACAGGGGAATATGTATTACTGCAGAAATGCTAATGATGATGCTGTTTGCTATGTAAATACTTGATATGGAATTTTAAAGATTTTTTGGGTGGCTTATTTTAGGCGTATTTATTCAGGTAAATTTTAAAAATATCCTTGAACAGCATTGAAGACTAAAATAGAGAACGCTCTATTTCTGAGTGTTCTTGTTCTATGCTCTTTCATATTTTGAAGGTCTGGAGACAAGCTAATCTCTATTTCAGTAATGGAACTGTTGGGTTTTTTGTTGTTGTGTAGTCTGTGTCTTCCTCCACAGGGCATACAAAGCTCTGTTTTGTTGTCAGATAATCCAGTTCGAGCTTCTTTTCCTTCTTCTTTTTTCTTTTCCTCACACATGCTATAGCATCTTCCCAAAAGGAAACTCAAACTTAGTTCACCCTTGGGAAATTCGCCTTAATCACGGAACAACAAATCTCTGTTGCTAGTTTTTCTGAGGAAATACAATTTGTGCAATTGATCTGCCTCTGTACTTTCCTCTTGTAGCTTTTGATTCTCTCAGTCAGTGATGACTTCACTTGGCTGGTGCTCCTTTCCCGTAGCTTTGTGAGAAGTAGCAGATGGGTACAGAAAGCAGGACTTGATCGTCTCCTTTTGGGAAAGGCAGAAAGAACGGAACTGCTCAGCCCCCAAGTGACCAGTCAGGCAGGATCTGTCAGCCTGCCAGCCATGTGACTGAGGATAAGCAAAGCAATGCTTTTAACCATCTGACAAACTCCAAAAAGGAAGGTGTGGGTGGAGGGAAGGAGCAAATGAAGGTGCAGAAATGTACCATTTTAAGGCGATGCAGGGGGTAAAAATCATCTTCCTCTCCCACTGTATTGTGATTCTTGGTTCTGTAGACTGCTAATAAATAGCAGTATTGGCTTTCTGTTGCTTGCTGATGAAGTTGCACCTGTGCGGAAAAACAATTTTCTGCCAGAAGTTAAAATGAAGGGATCTGTCATAGACCTTCAGTGTAACTAAGAACTGCAAACTGATTAAAGTGATTGTCTGCCATAGTGATAAAATTCATAGCATGTAATAAATTGTTGCTGAAATGGAAAATGCCTTAAAATGTGAAATGCTTGTCTGGAAGTTGCAGTAACTAGGACTATTAGCCTGCATACAGGCTTTTGGGAAAGAAATTGCAACTAATGTTTTATTGCTGTCAAGAACTTAAAATGTACTGGTCAGATTTAAAGACGGAGGTATCTTGATTTCTTCTGTAACTTCTTCTGAAGTGATTTTTTCCAATCTACATGAAATTTCAATTAAAAATGCAAGTTTAGGAGAAAACCTGTTTCACTGTTAGTTATGCTGACAGCATAGACCTTCTCCTGATGCCTGTAAGTTCACTTGGCTTTTCTTCTGAAGTTCTGTGTGCCCTGAGTCAATCCCGTGTTGATCATCAGCTCAGGCGAGGCTGGTTACTCAGATGCTCTCAGCAGTTTCTCAGTAGTTAAGGTGCATCAGTTGAAAGAGCAAGGCTTAGTTTGCTGTAGCACAATTCTTCCAAGGCCAGTTTACACCTGAGAGATGCCATCTGTGGAAGTGTTTGACTTCCACCTCCTGAATTTTGAATTCATCACTCTAATTAATATGCTTTAAGTTTGCTTACTGATTACACGTTGGCCTGGCTGGAGGAGTCATTGACATCCTAATGACTTATGGGTGAAGAAGCGAGCTATGAAGACCAGACCCGGTAATTTTTGTTGGATATGTGATGATAATGTGTTGGCCAGTGTGGGTGTGTCCATATCACCCTCCCAAGACTAGGAATGTGCTGTATGGCCAGTAAGGAGGCAAGGAAGCAGGGGTAGTGCTTCCAGCTGGTGGGAGATGGTGGCATCAGTCAGAGGATGAGGTTAAGTATGAGGACAGAAGTGTAGCTCAGATATAGTGAAGCTGTAAACAGCTGATGTGGAATGTACTGCTAAAAATAACTGATATTTAAATTAATGCAGGTGTTCTGATGTACTTTTAAGTATAATTCTGTTTTTTTATTTCAAGTTGGCAGCAGGAATGCTCATGGATGGTTGCTGCAGACTGGGTGGCTTACAGCCATCTGCCTGTGTGAGTTATCTGATGTGAGGCCCGGACAAACTTCCGGAGAGTAAATACCTGTAACACGGGCTGCCCAGTGTGTGGGTTGCAATGGTATGGTAAACTGCAGGTGTCACGCTTCATAATTGCAAAAATACACCCACACCCACTTGTTGATGCCAAATAATTCTAGTGATGAGCGTGGAAGGGCAAAATAGTTGTTTAAGTGGAAGAATGTAGATAGTCTGTTTGAGGGCGGCTGTGAAGGTAGAGTATGATGGGAAGCGTGATGGGAATGGGAAGTAAAGCTGGTACTTGATAAAACTAATGAGAGGAAAAGGCACGGCCTACATTGACAATTAAATATAGAGGGTTGCATTTTCTTCTGTTGACGGCCCTGAATCTGAGCTCTGTTCTTGTCTTTTGACACCTCTGCAGTCTCCTGATGAAATATGCATTTGTGAGTTACACAACTATATATTTACTTGCAAAGGAAGGTAACATTAGTACTGAGCAATAAATATGTCACTGTCTCTACTAAAAATATGTTTAAAAGTGGGTAGACTTTTGAATACAGAGTTTCTTTTCTGTTAATCTTTTCCCAGCCAGCCTAAACATGTCTGATGTCTACCTGTTGGCTGCTGCAATCCCTTTGAAGCAGAGTTTGGAGCTCATATCACAATGCTGCAGCATTTTGGAATGGCAAGCCAGTGTAAACACAACACCCCTCACCTCCCAAGCCCCTATACCTCCCCCCTTTTCTTTGGGGAGCAGGGAGGGGAAAAGAGAATAGATCTTAAACCTTTGCTGGCTGCTGTGCTCATAGTATTCCAAGTGGGACAGTCTCAAGCATGGATGATCTCCAGATGGGATTCTGCCTTCTGGTTCTCACTGCAGAGGGCCTTCAGCTGATTATCTGGGTTTCAGCAGCACTGTTTCCGTGTAAAGGAGTTTGTGATCTATAGTATGCCTTTCATTCTGTAGCTTTCATCCTTTAAGCATTTTGCTTGGAACTTCATGAGGCCAAAGAATACTAACAAGGGTAAATTATTCAAAGTTTCCAAGAGGAGAGAGAGTTGGTTTTTGTTAAACTTCCTTTGCCTTCTCCCTTGCCTACAGGAATTGCCGTATGTATGTAGAAGGCTTTGGCTCTGCCTTTCAGTTCTTGATTGACGTTTCCTGCTTGGTAGGAGCAGTGTTATGCTTTTACATCAGCTGCAAATGGTTATGAGTTATTAACTGACTATGAGACTTCAAGCCAAGCATCTTGTGTTCCCTCTGCAGAAACTGAACGGAGCTAAAGGGCCACAGATGAAAGAACATGAACATTTCTGAAGGTGTGAGATGTGTCTGACAGTGACCTCCTAACCTTCACAATAAAGAAGAGTTTTTCTACAGAAGCTTAGGATATCTTTAGTCCAACTTCTTAATATACTGATGGAATGGTGTTCTGACAACAATTCTCTGTAGTGAAGTACTTACCCTACTAGAGGACGGTGTTAGTTTCCCTGCTGATAATGCAGCTCCATGGAGGACAGTAATGCTTGGATAAGCATGCGCGAGGATCGCTCCTTCCACGTGCGATACAGGTAAGACTCTGCTCATTTCACTGGGGATGAATAAGTGCTCTTAATAATAGAAAACTAAACAAATTGCAACAAATAGTTTGATATCTCTGTTAGTTATTGGAACTGAACCACTTTTTTCTTGATTTTTGAGCAATGAAAATTTACATTTGCTATATAGGAGATTATATTAATATAGTTGTGTGATTGTATAGTATTGGAACTGTGCATGGTAGCAAATAGTACATAATTGTCTGTATTTCTTTGTATTTTGGGTAGAATGATATGAAGTATGATCCCTGCAGGGTAGTACCTGCTCCCTCTTCTTCTGGCTGTGGACTGCCTATGCAAATTGTTATGTTTTGTCTGCTGCAGTTCTCTGTACTTATCCCATCATTACTTCTTTAAACAATGAATTTTTAGGCGCACTGTCACCTAGAGTGGTGTTTTCCTTGCTTAAAATGAAGAGATTTGATCGATAGATGGAAACTGCTTTGAAACCTTGGACTAAAAAGTAGTTATTGCAAGTGAAGAGGAGATGTGAGTTTCCTTCTGAGAGCTTTTATCATTTTTCTTCTGAATCCCCTTTACAGACGTGGGGCAACGTGTCGGCATTGCAGACTCACTCTAATGACCCTGAACAACAGAAGCATTGTGTAGTGCATGGGTTTGGGAGGGTAAATCTTGCAGCTCATTCAACAGGAAGGGACACTGGAACACCGGAATGGTTGTTTTAAAAAGAAATAAAAAGCATGATTCAACTCCCAACCTGATCATTCTTGCTTTAGAGGCTTTTTTGTAGCTGACTAACAGCAGTGAGGCTCTACCTGTATTTGTAAGACAGCACATGCTTAGATTTAATTCTGAAAATATTCTGACAATGTTACATTGCTGTTAGGTTGGTCTTGTCTTCCATTTCTTAGAAGTACAGTGTTCTGGTTAGCAATGGAGTCAGCATGAGGAGCTTTTTCATGATCAGTAAGGAGAAAAATTAGGAATAAACTGTAATTTACTGTCAGCTCTCTCTCTTTATTTTGCTAAAATCTTTATAGTGTGGCTTAGACAGCAGGAATCCCAAAGTGTGTGAGCGTGATGGTTCTTCTGTGCTACGTGTTTCTTTAACGTTCCTCCCTCCCAGCTTTCCTCTAACGTGTCCCCATGCTGTTGCTGATGCCCTTGGTCCTCCCCAGATAACCACAGAAGATCCTTGCTCACTTTTTAATAAAAGCAGGACCTGTTCAGGGTACTATTATAGAAGTAAATGGATAAAAAAAGCATTATGCCCAATTGTCTGGTTTAAATTGACAAGTCCAAAATAACTTCGAAAAAATTGGCAAGCACATTCAGGGCAAAATGTCTGACTGCTTTATGCTGTATTTCAGTACAGGCTTGAATGGTACCAGTTAAAAATGTTATCAATAAAATATTAATGGCCTTACTAAGCCTTTCTCTAAGAACTGTAATCTGATTGACATTTAAAAAAAGTCATGCCATAATACTTTTAATTTTAAAAAATATTAAACTTTTCTAAAATTTAGAGAAACTGCAAATTAATTCTGTATATCGAACTGGAACTTTATGATGATTTAATTCAATCATCGTAATTAATTTTTAATTTTTTAATATTTAAATGAAAATTTAATTTGGAAATATTTATTAGGTTGTAGTTTAAAATTTAATGCAGGAAATAGTAGGTCATAAATTACAGGGGGGTAGGGGTGTTACCAGTTTTAAAAATTTTTTAATCACAGGTATGTTCCCAGGCTCATTTGGCTCTGACTGGTCTCTCCTTTTTGGCAATCTATTACAACTGATTTTAAAAGAAGCTGGTGGCCCACTCCTAAGGAAAGGCTTTACTGTGGGTCTGTTTCTGACTGTCCAAGCTGTTTCTTTCTCCCCACAGTACTTGACCAGTATCACTTTAGCAGCTATAAAAATGCTTATGCTGGTGGAAGGACACTATTTTTTATTCTTTTATTGTTTAGTGACTGAAAATAAAATGCTAATGCTACTAAATAGGGCTAATAAATTATCTATAGGGTGAATATTTGTAGGACTTGCTTGGCTTGGCCTATTAAATTTACACACCAAAAACTTGGCACTGCTTTTATCTTGATTGGAGCAAAAGAACCCCAAATCCAGGTGTGTGTTTCTTGGTGTGTGTATTGTTTGTTTCTGACTTTGCCACCCAGCGTAGTTGGAGGGAACCGGTGTTCGGAGGGGATGAAGCTGTTGGAGTGGTCAGTGTGGAGGCTCCTGCATTCCATGTGGGAGCCAAGAGTAAGTGCAGGAGTCAGGAATGGTGCGTGAGCTTTATTACAGGATGCTGTGGGGTTAGTAATGCTGTGCACCTCAACTAAAGAGATATAATAGGGGGTTTGGTTTATGTCCAGGTATGTCATGTGTTTCTTGGCAAATTGATGTCAACTTTGTTCCCCCTCGAGCAAAAAATCCTCTTGCTGGGAATTGAACTGACTAAAACTAAATTGTCTTTAGAGATTGTAGTAATCAATGAGTCTTAGTGCCTTCTTCTATTGCCTTACTTCTTACCAGTTTTTTGGTTTTATTGTAAGATGGGAACAGCTGAAGGGAGGGAGACTCCAAAATGGGAGAAAAAACCAGGGAGGGTAGGGGGGAGGCAATATGTTTAGGGTTTATATTCTTATAAGTGTAAAGGTTTAAATGAGAATGTGAAGGAGGTCAGAGAAGAACAAAGGGGGAAAAAAAAGAAAAAAAAAAAGGGAGCCAGGCAAGAGGAAAAGCTTAGAAGGGACAGATAAGGATGAGGTAGTTTTACAAATGAGAAATTATTGAGAAGATGCCAGCCTTTCAGAGAACAGGTCCAGGCAGCTATAAACAGAATAACAAAATGAAGCCCTGTGTGAGCAGTTCCACAGTAATATCTAGGGGAAGGTTATCCTGTTCAGCAGGAACAGGATTTCATTAGAAGTACCAAGATGAATGGGCCTTGTTCTCTTCTCCTCTCTGGGGATTCAATGTATCTTTTGTTTGGCCATTGGGTGTTGAGTAAATAATTCAATTCAGCCCTGGGAGCAGAGAAAGTAATGTCATATTCTCCTTTTAACTATTTAATGACTTCTTAAAACATTGATAGCCTAGCCCTGTCTGGTCTGCCAACATGCTGTTTAACCATTAGTAGTGACAGGTGGAGAACACCTACGTAAATCTTAAAAAAACCCCAGCAAAACAAAAAAAGTGTTCATTTGCATAAGTCCTTTTAAGTAGAGGAGGGCAAGAAAAAAGAAAATCCAAACCAAAACCAAACCCCTTCTGAGTCCAGTTTTGTACTTGATGGATAAGCCTAGCAAACTTTTAAAATAACTGAATGATATCATAGCTCTTACATAACAAGAATAAAATATTAATATTGGGTGCAGGCAATGAAATGGTAGGTCACTAAGAATGGATCCAAATGGAATTAAAGTTTAATTGGCTGTATAGATTCTAGCAACCTGTTAACACAACCTTTCTAGAGTTGGGCTCAAGAGTAATGTTAAATTTTGAGTTCCTTTTTTACTCACACAATTACTAGTTCCCATTTTCATTTACTTCCTGTAATTCAGGTTGAATTGAAACACTCTGTAATAACAGCTGATTTTCATCAGTCTGGGTATAAGCCTTTTGCTTCGTGGTTATTTGTGTTGTGTATGAAAGGACCCAGATCTTTCATTTTCACAAGCTATATTGAGTCTAGGGTTGCAAAGTCAAACGATTATGTTTCAAGTTCCCTGAGAAAATGGTAGTGCTGCCTTGGCATTTGGAGTCTTTGGGGTGTGTGAAATGAGATGAATGCAGTCTGTCAGGGGAGTTCCTGGAGCACAGCACTCTCTGATGTTGGCCTTGTACCTTTTTTAACTTTGCCTTTTCTCCATTGAACATGTGGCTGATGCATCACAGTTGCAAGTCAAAACATGATTTTTTTTTTAATGGCATAAATTCACTTACAGAAGTGGAGTCCAGTGTAGCATTTTGACTATTATGTCACACACACATTTTGCTGAAAGTTCTGCCCTTTTTAGCCATTCAAGCTAAAAATCTAAAGGACTGAGTGTGACTGTGTAATGGTCTAAATCTTTGCACTGAGAAGCACCATATTTTCTAGCCATCACTCTAATTGGACATGTCAGTTAACATGAGGTGCCCGGAGAGAACCTCTGTGGATAGGATTAAGATTACCCAATGATGTGTTTTAAGTCCTAAACCTTCAGTTGCTGATGGTGTAATCATTCCTGCCTGGTACTTAACTGCACTTAATCATTTCTGCCTTTTTCTGTCTTACCTTCAACACATGCACGGTGTAGTGAAAACCAGGTGGTGTGTTGTAGGAATGCTTTAACTTCTCTGAGAAGAGTTTCCAAACCTAAAATACTGCATGTGTTATGGATATCCAACCTGAGAAGTTGGGCCTGGGAAGAACTTCATGCCCGCTCTACCTTTTGCTGTTGGCATCTTTACCAACTACCAAGCACACAGTGCTTTTCATTGCAAAAGCTAATTATGTCTGTCATCTCGTTGTGCCTAAGTTGTGGAATGTCGAAGACCAGCAGGTATGGTACTGTTTGTGTTGGTAGCTTATTGTACTTATGATCCAAATTCTTGTAGTTCTCTTGGAAGTCTTTGGATTTTTCAAATATATATTCTTCTTACTCAAATCTGAAAAGAATTCTGTATGATGTATTTTCTTCCAGTTTAGGGAAATAAGGAAATGTAAATATTTCAGGTACATTAAATACTTCATCACTATGTCTTGTCAAAATAGCTGTCGCCTGGTGTTGCCATTAAAATAACAACTGGAAAAGCCAGCATTTAATTGTCCACTTTTTGGCAATATTAGGACACGCTTTTTAAACAATTACAGAATGTCTCTTACCGAGGTTTTTTTGTAAAAAAATCTTTTAAAAAATAGCATGATGATGTTTTTGCAAGCTTTTTAAAATGCATGTATCTTGCAAAAGCTAGAGAACCATCTTGCTTCAAGATTGAGACCTGAAATTGTTGTCTTCCTTCTCCTCCTCTCCCCTACCTCCCTTGCTCCCACAACTGGAAAGTACGAAATGTTTGTATATAATCGTTAACACTTCTGACATGTTACATTTTGTACACCTGAATTCACAGTGACAAAAGTGCACGTGAATGGTTTTTGTCACTGTAGTTCTCTATCAGCTTCTTCATTCATTGTTCAAAATGTAATCTTCTGCAAATTCATCCATGACTGCAATGTTTTGTACCTGTATAACCACACAATTATTTGTTGATAAGAATAAACAGTATTCCAGTGCGTTCTGGAATGGTGGTGTATCACTGAAGTAACTTGAATTGACATACATTTTGCCATTAATTGAATCTAGATATTTTTTCTTAGACTGAGAATTTTCATAGCAGTGCCAATATATGAAATGAAGTGCCAAGGAATATTGAATTACATAGGAAACAATTTGGGGAAAATTAGCCATTGTTTTTGACACACAGAATATTCTAATTTAATTTTTTTTTAAAAACATTTTGCAGGTAACTATCATAAAATAGTTACAAACATAAGCACTAAAAATTAAAGTGCTTATGTTTGTCTAGATGGTGAAAACTGCATTTTTTAATCCTACTGGTGCTATATATGGACAAAGCAGTGGTTTCCTCCCTGAGACTGAAAAAGAAAGAAAACAAGTTGAAGCTGTTTGTTGTAATGTTAAGTTTGCTCATCACCATTGGAGTTGCAACTCCCGTTTCAGCCCAAGTTTCTGTACTATTATAATGCAGAGCTCATGGGTTGTACTGTGGTGCTGACTCCCTTTCCCAAACAAATAGAAGTGAGTAAAAGACCCTCTTCAGAACTCAGGTGATGGACAAAGTACTGCATTTGGAGTGACTGTTTGCTTGTTTCCATTGTGCAGGATGGAGGCTTCCTGCCTGGAGCTGGCTCTGGAAGGTGAGCGCCTGTGCAAGGCAGGAGATTGCCGGGCTGGTGTGTCGTTCTTTGAAGCCGCTGTCCAGGTTGGGACTGAAGATTTACGAACCCTGAGTGCTATTTACAGCCAGCTGGGCAATGCCTATTTCTACCTGCATGAATATGCAAAGGCCTTGGAATACCACCACCATGATTTAACTCTTGCAAGGTAATCTTGTGTCTTTAACCATGTTCTCCATGTCATCCCATTCCCGTAGAGATGAGCAGCTGACTGCTCCTTTTCCTGCCAAACCCTACTATTAATACTGGCTAAGAGTGAACGTGGTGGTGGCAGAGGGCTGGGGGTCTGGCAGGTCACTTGGTTGGCCTCTAACCTGGCAGCTAATTCTTGGTCTAGCACCATAATCCTAGGACTGAGGCCTCACCAGGGTTGTGGATAATTAAGTGGCTTCTTTAAATCCACCCTTTCTTTACCCTTTCCTGTTTCTAAAACTCAGGCTTTCTGGTTCTCCAGAATGTTAAACTGCTCTCTTGTTTGCTACACAGAACTTACTCATGTTTATCTGTGTGAAACTCATAGTGTAATATTGTGAAATTTAAAACCCTGTGCATTTCATATGCTATTTATGCATCTGAGTTTTACTGATTTGATATAGATCCATTAAAAGACACAGGCACCTACTGTACTTAACCTCAATTTAGGCATAAATCTATTCTTCCCCCTGCCTTAGCCTGCTCAAGTGCTGTGACCTTGTGGGAATTTGTTGTGTTATCCCCCAGGTACAAGTCAGTGGTTCAGTGGCAGTCTCTTGCCTTAGTCTCATTTAGCATCTAGCAGTGTCCTGGTGCCTCTGAGCTTTCTGGGAGACTGGTGTGTCTTGGAAGTAATAGGAGACTATGACAGTCAAGTAAAATGCAGACACAGTTAAATCTCTATTTCTAATACTGGGACTGTCTTTCAACATCATCATTAAGAATTTTCTCTCTATTCTCTTCATAAAAGACATGAACTTTTAAAAAATGTTAAGCAGATGATCATAAATTCATGTAATTGCCATACATCGATCATCTGCTTGGTTTCAAATTGTACACTATTTCCTGGGTACTTAATTTCTGCAATTTTAGGACAATTGGAGATCTACTGGGAGAAGCTAAAGCTAGTGGGAATCTGGGCAACACCTTAAAGGTACTTGGGAATTTTGAAGAAGCTATCGTTTGCTGTCAAAGACATCTGGATATTTCCAGAGAGCTTAATGATAAGGTAAGAATCGTGTGGGAATCTGGAAGTAAACTGCTAACACGCATTTCCTGACTCCTGTTGTACTGCTAAGGAGTGTGCCACCTTTCAGAGGGAAATAAATACTGAATATTCAATTATTTCTTCTAGACAGTAAGACTCTATTAGTTGTAATATAATTGTTTGCACCTGGAAAGCTACAGATCCAGGTTAAATATTTTCCTATGTTCTGGTGAGTTTGTTTGTTCTTAATTTAATTTTTAATGGTGAGTGACCTCAGGAATTATTCTGTCTCTTGCACCTCAAAAGGAAGTAGTATGCAAAACAATTGGATTGAGGGGTATGACTGGGTGGATGGTAAGAGCATGTTCAGAATGGGCAGAGTGTGTCTTGATGAGTAGTTAACAAACTTTTTTCCTATCCGTGGATTGTACAAATAGTTGTTGTGACAAAAGACTTTGAGTCATGAAATTTTAATTCCTTGTTTTACTTTTGGTTTAGGTTGGAGAAGCAAGAGCACTGTATAATCTCGGAAATGTGTATCACTCTAAGGGGAAAAATGTAGCTAGTGCGGGGACTCACGATCCAGGGGACCTTCCAGATGATGTGAAAAATGCTTTACAAAAAGCTGCAAATTATTATGAGTAAGTAAATGTTGGGGATTGGGAGGATATGATCATGTAGTTCATTAGAATATGGGAGATTTGTAGCGTCATGAGCTAAACTGTGGAACACTTCTATGCAGAACTGAGGTACCTGTGAATTTGTTGTTTTCAATGGCAGAGTGCACTGGTTTTTGTTATGCCCTCATTTTTAGTGCACCTCACAAGTCCTTCCCTTAGGTTAGAAACCAGTAGTGCTCTTCAGGCCAGGCTGAGTTGACAGGACCTTGTTATACTTGTATATGTAACTAGAGGTGAGCACACTGGTTTGAGTAAGAATGCAGTGGAGTTCAGTGCTTCACAGGAAATGTTTCCTACTCAGATCTATGGCTGCATAAAGGCCATTGAAATAGGCCAAAATAGAATATCTCCAGCTTTTCCTTTATATAAAGATTTTTTAAATTATTATTTAAATGAACGTGAGGGAAAAAAAACCTCTTAAAAGTCACTATTCTTCTCCTCATTTTCCCCCAAAACAGGGAAAATCTGACTATAGTAACAGAGCTGGGTGACAGAGCAGCACAAGGACGTGCCTTTGGAAATCTGGGAAACACACACTATCTTCTGGGCAACTTCAGGAGTGCAGTTTTAGCCCATGAACAGGTACAACTTGTGCTAATAAGGATTTCTGTTCTAGCAAAATGTCACTGGTTGCTCCTAGCCTTTAGTACATGCATTGTGTTGGATCTTGCTGCAAGCTTTTTAATGCGGGTTTTAAATCTTAATGGCCGAAGTTCAAGTTTGGCTGTTCTTATCAAGCATTGCTGACCTAAAGAATGCATTTTTTCATGTGCATTTCTGTATGCAAATGTATGTTACAAAGTATAAAATGGAATAAATAATGCAATTATTTCACGTTTTTAAGCGTCTCCTAATTGCAAAAGAATTTGGTGATAGATCAGCGGAAAGAAGAGCGTACAGCAACCTTGGAAACGCCTACATATTCCTGGGTGAATTTGAAACCGCTTCAGAGTACTACAAGTTAGTTCATTTCTTCTAAATACAATTTATACCTCTTGTACACTTTACTTCTGTTGTGCCTGGTACTGTAGCTCACTGTAGAATACTCATCTCTTGAACATATACTTAGGAAAAAAACTTGTTTGTTTGGCAAAAATATTTTTTCCTAGCTGTTTAACTATTCTGATTCTTTTAAGGGAGGGATTAGTATTTTTTTTTTGGTTTTTAACTCTTTGGTTACTCTAAATAGATTCATCTCAGCACTGTAGACAGACATCTTTCTGTTCCTAGGCATTTATTCTAGAACCAGGCATTACTGTCTTGGCTCTTAGCAAGTTCTGGAAGGATTTGAGTAACTTTCCTACCCTGAGTTGGGTGGCTGCCTTGGGTGTGCTCAGTAGCTGAGGAAGGTGGTGCATGGCAACGCAAATTTACATTTTGAGTCTGTATTTTTAATCCAGGCTTTTTTCTTGACCTCTGCACCACTAAAGAGTTGCTGCTGTACTTGGGAAAGTAAAAGCTTGGCAAAGATACAGTCCAAGTGTTATTAGCATCTCACTTGGATCTCAGAGCTTACCTGTTGTTTTTGAAAGGGAAAAAAGCCTCAGTACTGAGCAGATTCCTCTTAGCACTTGAATTCTTCTTGCCCAGCAGGGCCAGGCTGGCTTGGTGAGTATAGGCCTGCCCTGCTCCTGCTGATGGGCAAGTCGTTATTGTAACACTGGTACTAAACTGTGTCCATTTGCATACTGTCAGGGAAACTCCTACAAATTATTAATGAAGCAATAAATTAAGATTAAAAGACGCTGTTTGAGGGATCAACCTGCCCTCAAATGAAGTAGATGGAAATACTTTGAGAAGGGCAATGGAAGAGTTTACAAGTCTAAGAGTGTAAGAGTTTACAATATAGTAAGTAATTTATTAGCCAGTAATTTACCAGCCAGGTTTCCTAATTTGTTTAAGTTGTATAACTGATTTTTAGTTGTGCAGGGATACTTTTGAAAGCTTTTCCTTGCAGTGATTTTTGAGGTGACTAACCCTTTCTTCCAGGAGGACACTGCAGCTGGCTCGGCAGCTGAAGGACAGAGCCGTGGAAGCACAGGCCTGCTACAGCCTCGGGAACACGTACACTCTGCTCCAGGACTACGAGAAAGCCATCGATTATCACCTGAAACACCTTGTGATTGCTCAGGAATTAAATGATAAGTAAGCCCTAAGACACTGTTTCATGTATGTGTGACACTTACAGCAAATCCTGCTACCTCCAGCTCTGCTGTCATTGTTCTGTATGTGACAGCTGAATTAATGTGAATTTCCTACAATGCTGGGCTCTGGTTTTCATATGGAAAACCAAAGTTCCTCATGAAGGTATCGCAGTTAATGAGTCTGAGATGAAAGACGAATTGATGAGTGACTGTCTCTACATCCTCTCCTGTCAGCACTGTCTCTCTAAATTAAGGAAAGAAAAAGCAGATCTCTCTTTCATGACACTATTATAATAATTTTGCATACTTTCATAAAAATCTGTCTCCAACTTCTCCACAAATTAATAATATGGGAGGGGGTGGGGAAAGGAAAATAACACAGTTGCAAGTAATGTTTATATTACAGTCATGATTTCTAAGGCCTTTTTAATAATGTTGGGTACAACTAAAAGTTTTTATATTATTTAAATGTACATATTTTACAATGTACATATTCTCAATAAGCAGAATATAGGAAGAATAATAAGGCATGCAATCTGAGGACAAGCAAAGTAGGTTATACAATGTTCTATGCTTGCAAAACTGAGTGACTTGTTTGCTGTGTGCTTAAAATTGTGATTAGATTTGTTCATATTTATGGTAATACCCAGATCACACTTCTTTAAATACAATACCTAATGTGTTGGTGTTGGAATGGTCTCTGACAGCCTCCCTTTTTGCTTGGCACAGCGATCTTACTGTGGCAGTGCTGTGCAAACCTGACCCCTGGTGTTCAGCGGGTAAAGGTGTAACTGAAAATGTGTGTGTGCTTTTCAGAATTGGTGAAGGAAGAGCGTGCTGGAGTTTAGGGAACGCATATACTGCTCTGGGAAACCATGACCAAGCTATCCACTTTGCAGAAAGGCACCTGGAGATTTCAAGAGAGGTATGATTTGCATACTCCCACTGTTGACTGTTGGCTTTTGCTCTCACTTATACAGTGGTTTTATGGAGGTGTATCCATGCATTTGATTTTGAGTAATGGAATGCATTTTGAAGGCAGAGATAGTTAATTCCACATCATTTTAGCCCCATCTCACTGCAGCTTGCTTAGTTCTAGTGTCACCTTTCATAATGTCATCATGGAATCCAAGTTGAGTAGCCTATTAGAGGTTATTTTAGGCTTTATGTACCTGTTAGTTGTTAGGTACTTCATTAAAAAAGATAGCTCTCTCAGTATTCAACCAGGAAAACCTTTTCAGCCTTTTTCTGTCAGAAATCTAGGAGACAAGGGTTGCTTTACACTTTCATGTGTCTATTTTTTAAGGTAATATAACTGCTTATTTTATTTGCTTGAAGGTAGGAGACAGAAGTGGAGAACTCACTGCCAGACTTAATCTCTCAGATCTTCAAATGGTTCTTGGATTAAGCTACAGTACAAACAACTCCATGATGTCAGAAAGCCATGTGGTAGAAAACAGTTTCAATGGTATGTGCCTCTTTCTGCAATACTTTTGAACAAAGAATTCAGAAAGAGTGTTGTGTTCTTTACTGACCACATTGGTGTGCAGCTTTGCTTGGCTTTCTCCCCCACCAGCAAAAGACAGTTGTTTTTGCAGTATTGGACCCCTTCAGCACCTCCTTTTCTGGAGGATTTACATTGTGAATCACTGGTTACTGCTTACTTTCTTCAGATGGTGTTTCTAATTGTGTCTGTGTCTTCCCCTCCCTTTTTTTGATGTGGGAGATGTATCTATTTGCTGTCAAATCCTGTCTTTTCTCTTCCTGCCATCTTAGCAACAAGGGTTAGAGCAGAACCCAGTCCATTCGCTGTTCCTCTGTTCAAAGGTCCATGGTCCTTCTCTCATGTCCTGTGAAAGCAATGTAGGTAGCTTAGATTTGGGTGGGTTTTGTAAGCTGCATTTACTCGTGGTTAGTTATTCTCTGCTGATATACTTACCTGCACTGGTTTGGAAGTCAGAATTGCTGTGCCTTGGACCTTAGATGAGTACAGCCACAGCTTTGATGATAAATCACCATAAATTTTGATGATAAAAAGATGAACTTGATTCTCTCTTGAAGGTACCAGACCGAGAGCAGGACGCCGTCACAGCATGGAGAACATGGAACTTATGAAATTAACCCCAGAAAAGGTTGGCACTTTGCTTCTGTTCTGTTGCTGAGATTGCAGTGAAACATTTCTAAGGGTTTGCTGATGTGCCACGTGCCTCCCCTTTCAATTTAGTTGATCTTAGGAGTTACATAACAGCAGGTCTAACCATACTAACAAATAATAGTTTTGTTGTGTGGGTGTGGAGCGTGTGACACACATAATGGCTCTAATGGCTTGTGGGAAGCTTGCTTTATTCACTGCACAAATAAGAAAGAATGAGGTCCTGTAGGTGCATCAAAGGAATTCCTTTTCATATCTTTATAGAGATGGTTTGAGGTTGCAGCGTGAAAGTGATTCAGAGTAAAATTTCTAAGCTTTAGTTCAGCTGTTCTGAACATTTTTTCTTTGGCTACAGTCATTTTGTAGGCACTTAAAATATATGGGTTTTTTCCTTTCGAGATTTCAACCAACTTGCAAGCCATCAGGAGCTTCAATATCCATCTTGAGTAAGGGTACTATTGCAGAAATGCTGCACCTGAGTCACTGATAGGCAAAGCAACTTCCCCCCAGGCTCAGAGAAATCTCTTGGAGACAGGACTTCCTGATTAAAATCCTTGTGTCACTCTCTCACAATTTTCCTTCAGTTCTATCTGCCTGTCAGTAGTGGGCTGGCAGTTCTACATGAATGACTCCAGTGGCACACTAAAATTGATATTTTTCCCTCCACACTGGGATATCTAATTCCCCTCTCTTCAAGTGAGGCAAAGCCTGTCATCATGTTGATCAAACAGGCAATAAAATCTCAAAGCACGTGGACAGTGGGTACAGCTGCAGTCAGCGCTGATGCCCACGAGCTGCTTTGAGTACCAATTTAGAAAGACTGTTTAGTCCGGGGTGAGGCCTCTGCAGGGAACCTCTAAGCTTTTGGCCACCATCAGCTGTGTTTTCTTACTTTCTGAATCTGTTTATCTGGGATCACTTTTAAAATGTGTATCCTCTGACAGTCTGTGCCCTAAATATACTGTTTCCTGTAGATTTTTGGCTTTAATCTACTATTGCAGTTTAGCACTTTAAAGGACTTTTTTCAAGGTACTTATTGAATACATTCTGAAAATTCATTCCATGGCAGTCTTTGATATCTCCAGCAATGCATGACAGGAGCATGAGGGTTTCAGTGGACAGGATGCCATCTTCTTGGAGTCGCAGTCTGTGTGCTGGTGCTCAGGAAGCCTTGAAAAGGCAATCCATTGGGGTAGGCACTGTTGCTGGAAGATTTGTGACTGTGTTCATGCTTTGTGATGTTGAATCAGGAAAGAAAAGGTTTTGTTTTGTTTTTACTCATTTATAAGAGTCTGTCAGTTGTGGATAAAGCTATTTTGTGGATAATTCTATTTATTTTAGAAGATATTTTAGGGAAAATCTGACAGGTTGACAAAGGTATCCATTCTGATCTTTAGTGAAACAAGATGGTCATTCCTGTTTGCTCTTGTGCTGGCATTATTCTCCCTTTTCAATCTTTACTGAGAAGTTTGTGTATATGAAGGACTTCAGGGAAGGCCTGTTGAGTATCTGGGTTGGTATAAGGGCTTTTTTTGCTCTAAAACACTTCGTAATATGGGGGCTTTTAATTTTTTTCTTTCCAGTTTTAAGAATGTCAGGTGGGAAATACCAGCTGTGTCTGCAGTTCAGCATTTACATTATAACTGCTTTTCCTGCACTGCAGTCAGCAAGGACAACTTCAGTGTGTTTAATTAAATACACTATATGATCACATTTTAATCCATCAGGTGTCACATAACAGTTCAGTTCTCAGACTAATCAGTAACAGCACTAACCTGCTCCAGCCAACAGCAGCTCACTAATCCCAGGTCAAGTAACAGAACCAAACCCAAAGTTTTAACATCCTTGTGGTTGGATGAACAGAATAAAGCTGCTTCATTTTGGGAAGGAGAAGGAGCAGCAAGTAAGAGGTAATTAAAATCTCAAGGCTTAATTTCATGACTCTTGTTTTCTTAGGTTCAGAACTGGAACAGTGAGATTCTTGCTAAACAGAAACCACTGGTTGCCAAACCTTCAGCAAAACTGCATTTTGTAAATCGACTAAAAGGCAAAAAGTACAAAACCAGCACCACTTCCAAAGTTTTGCAGGATGCCAGTAATTCTATTGATCATCGACTTCCCAACTCCCAGAGGGTAGGTCTGGTGAGCTGTGGAGATCATCACCTTCACTCATCTTTGTCTGATCAGAATTATGGAAAACACATTCCTGCAACTGTCCATTTCACTTTAACTTCATTTAAACACTGTGGCTCTGTAAAACATGCAGAATCTTCCATTCTACAGCTGTCTCATGGGTGGTGCCAGCTTCAAGCTTTTCCTAACACTGAAACCATTGTATTCCTCATGGATTTTCTAAAGTTAGAGCTCAGCTTACCCATGTATTTTATTTCTAAGTCTCTTCTAGACACTGCTGCTCTAAACTTAACAAAATCTAGTTTTTCTGACTCAGGCAGTGGGAGATATTTTGGACATTTTAGATTATTGCACTCTTGACAGAACTCAGTTAAAAATAAAAGGCATTTGATCATAAACCTGAGGAGACAATGGAAACTGTTCATTGCTGTTCTTGTTGCTTTTCTTCTCTCATGGGCATTTGCGTTTTTTTCAGTGGATTAATGGCTGAGGAGGAATAACTCCAGTTGTACCATGATCCAAGCACTGTTTCTTTCCATGTGAGAGAATGTTTCTAATATACTTTACTTTCCAAAAATGCTGCCATATTGTTATATCTCCTCTTATAAGTCTCTGTCTATAGAAAGGGATAACTAAAAAAATTTATTTTAATAGATTTCAGATTCACAAATATGAAACAGGACTGGACTAAACTCTGCAGTTGTCCCAGCTTTAGGTACTCTTAAGTTCAAAATACCCCTAAATCTTTTCTCCTTTTCAGAAAAGCAGTCGAGAGACAATGGCAGATGAAGGGTTCTTTGATCTGCTGAGTCGATTCCAGAGTAACAGAATGGATGACCAGAGGTGCTACTTCCAGGAGAAGAACAGACTCCCAGCTGCTTCAGTGGCAAAATCCTCTACTCCACCTAAAACAATGCGAAAATGTAATTTTTTTTTTTGAAGTAAAATCTGTATCTGACTTGAGTTTCTGCCAAATGCCTTTTTCAAAATGTATTTGCATGCACGACTCACTACAGAAATTTTTTCAGAAATCTTACAGTTATTTCTGGGCTAACTTGTTTTCTTCCTGCTCCCCAGCTTTCTCCACTTCTGTGGTGTCCCCACACACAGATGAGTTTCTGGACCTCCTGGCGAGCTCGCAGAGCCGCCGGCTGGACGACCAGCGTGCCAGTTTGAACAACCTGCCCGGGCTGCGCCTCCCCCAGCGCGACAGCCAGGCCGTGCTGGGGCACCTCATGGCCAGCAGCAACAGGGAGCTGGATGATGACTTCTTTGATATATTGATAAAATGCCAGGTCAGTGCTTAACAAAAGTTCTTCAGCTTCTGAGTCTCTGAGGATGTGATTTGTGCTTCCTGCTATTGAGTTTCTTGGTTACCATGTGATTTAAGATACATACTGATTGAACATAACAGAACAAAATATTGGGATTTTTTTCCCAAGTTGTTTTACAATTTCTGTTTCGTGTTTTGATTTTTTTTTTAATTATCCAGTGTCTAGTAAGTGTAATTTTAGTCTATATACCATAGTAACTATGTCAAGTAACAAAAATGTATATACTATGGTAACTATTTCTAGAAAAAATTCTTAAAAAGTGAAGGAAAACAAGTGAGGCTCTTAAAACAAATATTAAAATGGTTTTTAAGTGTAAGGCACCTGATATACCAGGAATCCTATGAAATGAAATGATTTAGTATTCAAGTTTTGGTGATAACAGTGGTCATCATTCCCATTATGTTTAGTGTAAATGATAGTTCATAGCAATACGCAGGTGAGATGGCTGATTGTCAATTAGAGAATGGTATATATACCAATTAGACCAATAAGAATTTAATTAAATTAGTTGATAAGCATCTCAAAATACAAAATTCAGATACTGAGTTCTCCAAAGGTTAGTATGTTACCTGGGGTGATAAGAAGCACCTGGAATTGAATTTCAACCTGATGAAATATCATGTTCTGTTTTAGCAGCTTATCTGTTTACTCCTTTGAGTCAAGCAAAGAATCTAGAAATTACTATGATATATTTTGTCTCTTTAAGGCATGGAAAAATATTTAATCCTCTCTCATCATTATGGAGGCTAGTGCTTTAAACAGAAGCACAAAAGGGTTGCTGTCCTTTGATACATTTTGTCTCAAGGATGACTGTCCAAGTTCCATCCAGCACTGAAAGCTTTTCCTACACTGACAGCGTGGCAGAGCCTGTTCCTGCAGAGAATGCTCATTCCCAGCTCAGGCACAGGAGCTGCCGTAGCTGTTGCAGCCTGACCTGGTGCCTGCAGGTGCTGGCCAGGAGGGTGGTTGTGTGAAAGGAGCACAGAAACCATCCCATGCTCTCTAACTCTGTCACTGAACTGTTCCTGTCCTTACAGTGGGGAAATGCCTTTCAGTATTGCCTTTCCAAATCTGATACCAGTGGGGCCATTTTTTACTCCCTGTAATAAGGAAAGGAAGACAACCATATTTTCTGTATATGAGACTACAAATATCCCATACTAACGCTAAAATTCTTCTTCTGGACAAAGGACACTTAAATCTCCTTCTGCAATAGGACAGTTGGGGGGTATTTTCAGATACATATGGACATTTTAGCTTAACTTGCATTCTTAATGACTTCATTTGACAAGTTTAGCTTGAAACAAAACTTAAATCTCTATAATGGCTTTAAATCTGAAAACAAAAGCTTTTAGGAGTTTTTTCACTTATACTGTTTATTTATTCTATCTGTTCCTGTAAATATGCAGCTTTATCTCTTGGTCTGTCTATAGGGTTCCAGACTGGATGATCAAAGATGTGCTCCTCCAGCATCTGCAAAAGGATCCACTGTACCAGATGAGGATTTTTTCAGCCTCATTTTACGATCACAAGCTAAGAGAATGGATGAACAGAGAGTCCATTTACCCTCAGCTATAAAGGGACCAAATTCTAGCTGAAGACACACACAGAGGAATGTACTGTACAGCAGCATCTTAGGTATCATTTTTGTTTGCCTTTTTAAAGATGACTGCAACTAGTAGTTTTGTCTCCTTTCTAATGATTTTCCATAGAAATAGCAGCAGCATCACCTGTGTGACTGTAGTTAGAGTTGCCCCTGCTCATGCAGTTGGCAGCTGCTTTTATAGCAGTCTGAGATACCATTACTGTCTCTCCCTCTTAACTGTCTCTAGTCTATCAACATTAATTTTTTCTCTGTCAGGATTATCAGTGCTCATGTGTGGATTCTACTACTGTCTCAATCTAGTGTAAGACCTAAATTTTTATGTTGTTTTTAAAGAAAACTTGATTTTTCCCCCCCTGCTTTGTACCTCCTGAAAAAAAGGTCCTGTTTTCTTTTATACTTTTTTTAAAAAATAAAAAATTGAGAAATAGCTTCAGTAGTTAGTCTGTCTTTGCAGAAACACAGTTTGGAAGAAACAATCATTTCTCTTAAAAAAAAATTAAACCCTGGTTTTAGTTCTGTTTAATAAAAAATAAGTTTTTTCAGAACATGATGAGTTTTTTCGGTAATACTTAGTTAAGTGGTTCTTACATTAACTCAGCACAGTTTTACAGTCAGGAGAAGTTTTTAAAAAGTACTTCTTTTCAAGTAACAGCTGCTCATGCTGCTCTACAGATGGTGTGGTACAAGTCCATGCACCAGAGAATCACAGGGGTGGTGGGCACTTGGCACAAACTCCCAGGGACACAGTGTAGTTCCTACAGTACCTGAATTTCAAATGTCACATGCTGTAAAAGCTCATAGGCTGCTTATTACCTGACCTCAACTCCTTCTGCTCTTGCTAAGGATGTGCTATGCTGGGATAGTTCTGGGGAATAGCCACTGTAACTTCATTTTCCCTGCAGTAGACCCCAGTCCCGAGGCAGTTCTGGGGAACCGTGAGGGCTGTGCTGGTTTAACTGTAGGTACCTTGAGATAGAAGCCACTGATTTTAACAGCAAAGGTGGCAAACTGTTCACTTTGGATATTTATAAATGATGTCCTGTTTTTATTGAAGTATTATACCCCTAGAGAAGAATCTACAGTTAATTTTAGCTTCAGAGGGAAATGGCAGTGTAAAAATAAACAGACACATAATTCAAACTATTTTACAATTACTGAAAGATTTATAAATATTCTCTTGCAGCTTTTTTTAGGCACTGAAATCTGAATCCTACTGAAACTAAAACCCCTCCCTCTGCTTATAAGGAGAAATGTCAGAATGTTCTTCAAAAAAGAAAAAAATCACCAATCAGTTTATCATCCTGAGCTTTGATGCTTTTACTCTGCTTCCCTGTTCATCTTTGAATTGCCCTAAAACCCATCTGACACATCAGCTTCTCACTCTGCAAATCATTAAAGTAGGAGAAAATCAGTCAGCTGTCCTAAAACTGAGCTGACAGACAGCCAACTGATTTTAAAGACTGTAAACACAAAGATAGACCCGAGACATCTGTTCGAGCTGTGATTAGTGTTATGTGAATTACAGGAATATCAGTAACTTCCCTGAGGCTGTTGGACAATTACCTGGCTAGGCTTGTGTTTGCTACATCAGAGTATCAGTGCTTCCCCACTGAGAATCTAATTTTACCCAAAACTTATTACACAAACTTGATTTCCAACAAGTAGCAACACCCCACAAGCCTGTTTTCTTGGCCACTTAAATGTGTATTATTATCTTAACACATTTATTTCAAATTTCAGACACAGTACCTATACTCTCCCAGATTTTACAACCCCACCTTACTCCTTACTGATGTTCTGACACTTGAGAACTAGAGCAGAATTAGCAAGTACATGACAACTAAAGATTAGACAACACTTACAGCAGAGCTCGGGCCTTCCTTAGTCTCCTTCCTGGGAGTTGTGTAAAATGTTCTTTTCCTTCTCTTCACCTTGCTCCATCGCAGAGCTTTTCCCTTCTAGGTTTTTATTGGGATCACAGTTTTCTCCAGCCTCTCGCTCTGCTTTGCCTGTCTCCTGTTTCTGCTGCTCAACTGCAGGTTCCTTAGTATGGTTTTCAGCTTTGAGAGTTTCTAGTCTATGAACTTCAGACTCAGTGTACAACCTATTCTGTAAAAAAATTAATAATTGTTATTAATTAAGCAATCTAAAGTGACAGCATGTATGGCTTCAAGGGCACCTCAGCTCAAGGGGCAAAACATGAGTAGTATAATTTGTTTCCCTGGTATGATAAAACATATGTTTATTCTCACACTAGGGTAACAGTGCATGTAAATATACACAATGTAGGGTATAAATCTGTTTTGAGTTTTCTCTAGTCAGCACTTCCCCCTCCTTTCTCCTGGGGGTAATCATGAATGCCCAGGCTGACATAAATACTGATCTCTGAAGTTAAGTCTTAAAGAGTTTTAATTCAGTAGTTTCCTGCCAGTCAGCCATTGCAAAGTATTTTTCCAGAAAGAAACATGTCAAAGACAGCTCTACCAAACTGTTCTATCGGGAAACATGTACTTCCTTAACTCCTCTCTCCCCAGGATTTGGGTTAAGCTTGTTGTTTAAGCGTGTTTATCAGGTGACATTGAAATCTATTCAATTTAATCCCAGCTCAAAGAGCACCAGGACTAACATTAGGTTCTGGTCTGTGAGACTCTTGTACGTGTGTATCTGGCTCATCTCTGGTCTGTGCCGCGTCGGGGCTCCTGCTGCCGTTCGCTGCTCTCACAGTGAGGGGAGGTCTCGCAGAGCCATCTCCTCTGTCCTGGTGTCCTCTGTACACATACGGGTGCTCCTGCAAGTAATAGTCCTCTGACAGCCTCCCATCGTACTGCCTAAAGCCTATTTGCTCCTGTTGACTGTCAGGTGGAGGAAGACTTCTCCTCTGAGAAGATGTTAAGTATCTTAAGGCAGACACTGATGATCCTGCACCATAGCAAAAAGCCTGGGGGAGGGAAAAAAAACAAGCTGAACAAAACACCACATACTCACAGCCTATGGTTCTCACACAGATATCAAAGTCAGGCATCTATAAGACCCTGAATGAAAAGCTCAGGTGATCAGAAGGGCTGCAGTAAAATCAAGCTTTCTGCAGTCTGACCACACTGCAGGAACTGCCACACTGGGTGCAGTTCATTGTTGGTGCTACATTAAAGATGTTGGAGGTTTTAACTCAATGCTTTTGTGTACAAAATGCCAATTATATGCATCACTGTGTAATGACACAAAGAAGAAATGGGAACTAAGCTGCAATAAACTGTCATAGAGTCTAAGATTTTAAGCAGTTTAAGGCTATTTTATCCCACTTGGGGAGAGGAGGGGAGTTGTGTTTTGAATACAAACTTGGCTATTTTAGTTGCTAAACCAACTGTACTGTGAAGCCTTGGTCAAGAAAAAATTGCCTTGTAGAAGTAATTTCATCTGTGTTAAGTAAAAATAACAAATAAATAATAGATAATAAATATAAATTAAAATAATATATAAAAAATAAAACTGAGCTCTTAAACATAAGATAAATGTATACAAACCAGGACAGCCAGAGCCATCATAATTAGTACTGGAACCTGCAGAACGAATGGAATCTCCTTCATTAGTGCTTTGATGAATTCACCAATACCTTGTCCTACGTGCTTCAAAGGTTCAGTTACAAAGTTGGTGAAAGTAATTGCCAAGGCCTAGAAAAATACAAATAGAAAAACAGTGTTGTCACACAAACAACAAACATCAACATGAACAGTCCCTTTGGAGTTGGCATGTACCTTTGTTGGTGGAACCAGCAAAATAGGATTTACAAGTAGAGTTTCATAATACTTCTGACAGGGATCGTCCTGTAACGTCCATGTACTTCTAAGCCATTCTGTCAAAGCAGAGACATATTTTTACAACTTCTTAAAAATATATTTTATGATACAGCAGTAAAAGACAAAGTAGCATTTCAGTTAGAGATGTAAGAGAACTCTTCTAGATGCGGTTCAAAGCTCAGATTTATTTTTAAATTCTGAGATCAGCTTGGCAGTGTAGTTTATCCAGTCATAGGGATGCAGGAAGGAGAGGGAAGGCTAGAAAGAAAAAAGAACCTGAAGTTCTCCCATGCGGAGTCAGGAAAGTTCTCTTTATTTGATGAACTTATTCCCTAGAAGCCTCAGGGGAAAGAGTCTCATCTGTGAGAACCATTATCTAGCACAATGTGTGCACAGCTACTGAAACAGTGCCATTCCCAGTGTTATTGCTCATCTGCCAGTCTGCAAATGAGATTAAAATTCTCTGTTTTGCTTGCTAGATTTCAAGGGTCTATTTTATTTACAAGCAGAAAGTCTCACTTCTTAAGGGAACTTTTACATCATAAACAAGTCATTTACAACATCAGTGTTTCTGTAGTTTGGTTTTACTGCAGTCAGAACATGAATCATAGAAATTTGTCATAAACAGAATAATCAGAGTCAATAAATTACAAAGGGAAGACCATAACAAGCAGTTCTTAAGAGTTGCCACCAGTCATCTACCAGCTATAGCACTGGAGACTAATAACAGCTAATAAAAAAAAAAAATCAGCTTTCTCTGTAAAATAGTAACACTCGAGTAAGCAGCTACAGATCTAACTCCTCCACTCCATTGTACTCACAGGTCTGGCAGATGAAAAGAAAACAACCCTTTTCATGAGCTCTGCCCACCTGTCTTTGGTAAATGGCACTGGATGGTTCTGGGGAGGGGAGCTGGGGAAACAAGTTAAAAGAGAAAGAAGGAATAGCATGACGTGCTACAAGTACAGTTTTGTGATCAGCTCTCCTCCAAAGGCCTAGAAAAGTCTAATGGAATGGAAAAATGGTAAAACCACAGAATCATGTATTGAAGAAAATTCAGTGTAGGGCTCATGAAGATATGTGACTATCCTTGGATACTATTAGTGAATATTTTGTGATCTTAACTACTATTATAAAATAACGAAACAAGTAGTTACCAAAAAGACTTTCTCTCCAGTCCAACTTCTCAGCACAGATGTTATCAAACTGCCCCATTTTCGCAATTTCTGCTTGATGCTGAGCAAAGGCCAACTGAGGGGAACACAATGACTTGTGAAACAAACAGAACCTGCATCTATGCAGAGCTGCACCTCAGCTATCCCTGTTTGCTCTTAGCTGGCTTGGGATAATTCTCCATGTCAATGATAATTTCCTCATTACACCCCCCTGTAATGGTAACTCCCCGTGTAAATATATATTAAGAGAAGTTTGCTAACTAAACAATTTAATGGAGTTCAACTCCAAGCACCTCCTGGGAACGGACAAAACCCAAGATGATGGCTACCTCTGAGTTATCCTCCCAATGGAGTCTGATACTTTTGCCTTGAACTCGTATCTTTGAATATTGGAGTTTAGTCTTTTGGCAATTCAAACACAGGGAATCTTCAGAAAGAAAAAACTCCTCACAATATATTTTCATATAACTTTTCTACCAAGCTGCTTTAGTCAAAGGTCACTTCTGCCTTGCTCACACAATGAAATTAGAGTTCTAGTACTCTATGAATTTTGGGCACCTCTACTGTAGGATAAAGTTGTCAGAGTTTCTTTTGTTCTTTAAGCCTAACACACCCATCAGCATGCAAACCAAAATGTTAATCCCTTTATTTATTTTGTGGTTAATTAAAAGCTTTATGTAAACTACCTAAGGGAACTAAATAACCTTAACTCCCTCATAACTCTAAAATTTTAAGCCTAAAAGACAAGAAGATTAGAGACCTTACCTTATACAAGTAAAGCCAATTCCATGCAACACTGATGAAAAAACTTATTAACAAAAGACGTTTTAGCTGAACGAACCAAAGAATACGTGTCCAGAGCTCTGTAGCTATTACAGTTACAATGCACACTAAGCACAAGAGCAGCTGAAAAAGAAAAGACGAAAAAATTATGATCCAAATTTGGAATTTTCCAAGCTTACTGCCAGTACACATGAAGAAACTTCCAACTTCTGTTTTTGCTAGTGTCATTTACACAGTTTTTCCTTGCTTTCACAGCACATCTGTGCAGTACAAGGCAGAAGTTTCATGGCATTGCTGATCATTCCTATAACAGCCTTACACTGCAGTTGCTCATTTCTTTCTTATGATACTTAGTTATTTCTTCCTTATGATGTCTATCACGTTACCTACCACACTTTTAAATTATAATATTGGTGTCAGTCACTGCTTAAGTAGTATGTGCCTGGTACGAACCACTGAGACAAAGTCACAGTTTGAGTAACAGCAGAAAGACTTGAGAAGCACTTTACAGTCTCTGCCATCCGAGGACCCCTAACAGTGAGGTTTTGCTACTGACAGACAGCTCACTTTTGTGATTTGGCTTCCATGGACCCCTCAAATCTAGACAGGCTCCTTTCAAGATTATGTCACCATAAAACATCAGCATATTCTGAATTGTAAAGATTTATTCAGAGAGCTTCAGCTTATCAGAGATCCTCAGCTTAGCACTTTATAATTCCATAGTCATGCTCTCCTCTCTAACACTCCACAATTTTTTCCATAAAATTCACAAGAGCCTCTGACCTGTAAGAGTTCAAATATATACTTGTCTCAATGTAAATATATTCCAACTCCTGCAGAAGCCAACAATTTCAGCATGTACTTGAACAAGAGACAAACCCAGAAAATCTGTAATGCACGAAATGTCTGTTCTAGTGATAAGAAAGTGCTAGACCCTAATGAGTCAGGCAGCACAGATATAAAAGACAAGAAGAAGAGAAAAAAAAAGCATAACAAAAAAACCCCACAAAGCTACAATAAGAAAAGATGACCATAGGAATAAAAAACTTGAATTCTTACTTAAAATGAATACATCCCTCTTCCTTCAGCAACCATGAAAAAACCCATGACTCACTGGAAGTACAATGGAAAGAACTGCTTTACATGTGGAGTTAAGATGGTTATATTCACTGACTAGACTTCCCCAGAGAAACTGCAGAGAACTGCAGTCAAAAACAACAAACCCCCTTTATTCTCTTACCAAAAACAAATTATACAGGTCAATTCCAAAAGTGTCTTCAAATCTCCAGTGCCAAGCTTGATAATCGTGGTGCTTAAAATTGATCAAAATATCACTAAGTGCATCATCCATGGCACCTGGCTGCCAAGTCTCCTCATTGAGAAACCTGAGGATCTCCACATATGTCTGTTTTGTAAGGATGATCTCAGCGTCGTAGTGGACTTGGCCCACGTTTTCCTCAGGCTGAATTAAAAGCAAAGCAAAATAATGTTAAAAGCTGCTTATTTGGAAATAGAAGTGCATCCCTAGGCAAAAACCTGATTATATACCCTTCATGCTGTACCAGAACCTTTCTGAAGCAGACTGCAGGATGAAAACATGGGACAAAACTACGATTCTGTGTCCTTTTTGTTCATTCTTCTAAACTGTATGATACTCGAGTTCAACTGGTTTGTACTCCTTCAATTCTACAGCAATAAACCAATAGAAATGAAGTTAATTATCTCACCTGTTATTAAAACTTTAAAACCATGGCTCACTAACAAGTGATAATGACGTACATGCTATGTGTGCCCCGATCACAGCTGGATAATACAGACAGAAGCTATTAAATACTGAAATAAGAAATTTCGCATTGCTAAATATAATGTTCTTTATTAAATATTAATTTTGCTTATTACTAAAAATTAATTCTTCTCTGAATAGAAAAAAAATCTTTAAAGACAATATAATAAAGAGCCCACCCAACAAGTAAGTACCATGCAGCCACTCCAGTTTAACAACCATTAATGTGAACTGAACAAGGTACTCCTGTAGCTGCATCCCAGCAACAGATATTTAGGTACACTGAATTCACACAGCCTTCCTCTGGATGCTTTACATATCAAATGGCAACTGTGTCTCCTGAGCAGTACTGGATGCACACACTGCTATTACCTTTTCCTGTGCCATTCAGTTCCCTTCATTTTAATTTAAAGTACGCCAGAATAATTAAGCAATACTTGATAACTGTGAAAACCATATAAAGTAGTAACATGAATTCTAATTAATTTTTTTTAAATGACTGTTCAAATACTTACAAGGCCAAGTTTTCCAGCTTCATTTAAAATTTTATTCAAGTATCGCTTAAAAATATAAAAGCTACGGCTTTCCTGTGACTTGGCATTCCTCTTCTCACATTCTGCAATCTGCAATCAAGCAAAAGACACTTTTAGTCACTTTGCTCAAACCAGCTCATTCATAGGAGAAAAAACCCCCTTACCAACACATTAAACTCAGGATCAACAGGGGCACATTTCTTTAGTTTAGCAATGATCCTGTGATTAGTATGCCAGATAAAAAGCATATGGAGTTACTGAAGATGCTGCTTTCCATGGGACTGGCCAGTACTGAACAACTTGAAAATAACCGAGCAGGTTCCTTGGCTTTTGGCAGCATTGTGTGACACAAAACATTTTAGGAAACAGATCATGGAAGGAGAGCAACAATTTGGAATTGAATTCAGACCACTTTCAGTCTCTCCTTTGAATAAAGAGGTTCCCCCTACATAAAGCATAGTCTCTCATAAAGTATGTCAGCAATGCACCTGTTCTGTACTATCCAGAAAAAGCACTGTCAGAAAGCACAAACTATTAAAGACTGGAAAATATTCTGGAGTTCTGTAACAAACCTTCTGTTGCAGGGAATCTATTGTCCTGGAACAACTTGGTGAGATTTCAGTACTGACTGTATCTGCAGTCTTATCCTCAGAGTCATGATAGTTTGCCTAAAATAACAGAAGAAAAACACGTATTTTTAGAATCTGATAATTTGATCAAACATGCCCTGTTACACTTCCATAGTCAGATCTCTTTAAAAGGAGCAAAGGAGCTAAAATCTGAGTGATCTTTTCTGCTAATACTCTCCCAATGGTACTCCATCTGCCTCTCTGCTGTTATTCTAGGCTCCAGATGGACAACTGCTTTAAGTTTATGTAAATACCTGTTGCCTTCAAAAGGTGAGGCCTGTCCTCCCCCACCTGCCCTTTCCCCTCCTTAGAGTGTTGGTGAGCCACACAGAGCATCAGATTAGATAACTGGACTGGCTAAAAACTGACTCAGCAAGCAAAGGGGCAGCTTCCAGCCAGACAAATTCCCAGCCCAGCTGGCCACGCAGCCAGCCAGACTGCAAGTAAACACAATCCCCCATTCTGGGATGCATGCCTCTCCTGTCACATCCCCTCTTTGCTCCAGAACACTCCATGCTTTCTGTTAATTACTCAGACCCAGTTTTAGCAGTGCTGCTTCTACACAACCAGGAGTGGACGTTGAGGGAAGTCTCCAAAAGGAAGCACAACAGTGCACAAATCAGTGAACTCATGCTGATACCGAGTTTGGTCTTGAGGATTTGGACGGCCCCCACAGCCTGCCTACCTAAAAACCCACTGCAGAGCAAAAAAGAAATCCTGAAAAGATGGATTAAACCAAAGCAGGCATTTTTCTCCTTTAAGATAAGAAGTTCTATTTTTGTGGGAGACAACAGTAAAACTACTATTTTTTTTATAAAAGCTGGAGCAGTTGGCCTCCAAGTTTAAAGACTCCAAAGTTTGCTGCTGAATTTTAGGGATGTTAATGACATCCCTAAAATGGACTTGAGGCAGGTGGAGGCTGAAGAGGAATGCTGTACAGAGAAATAATGCAGTCTGCATTTTTTAACTTTGGAAAATTACATTCTGAAGTGTTTAAATAGTATCAAACTTGAAAGCTGAATAATGACAAATATCAAAGGCACCCATGCAACCGACCACAGTTTACAGTGCCATGTGTGCACGTATGTATTAGATTAACAACATGCATCTATGTAGAGTCTATCCCTCACGCAAGCCAACTGAGATGATTCACCTTATTAAAACTATTTTTTTTCCTACTTCATCTTCTCCTAAATGTTCAAAAATCACTAACAGTACAGCACTCAACCCCTATTCTGATCTTCCTTCTGAAAATCTGCATTACAAAACACTTTGTGACTTTCACAACACTCTCACACGAGAATTGTGCTTTATTACCACATTGCTGTGAAACTGGTTAATTAAAGTAAAATGCAACCACTAACTTGCCCAACTGTTATCAGTTAGGAACTTGATTTTCAAGATATTTAATACTCTACTTGAGAAACTAGCAAGAGCTGCTGAACCCAGTACTTCTCGGAGCAGTAACTCGTGGTGCCACAACCTGCATAAATCAAGCACCACCTGCAAAAAGACAGAAAGCCTGGTTGCTGTGACTGGATCAGTGTGCAACAGAAACTCAACAGGAAAAGGTCCTGAGCTAACTACAATAACATAGATCACTATGTTTTTCCTTGCAATTTTAACCATGGACACAAAAGACTTTTCTGTGAATGGATTCAGATACAACATAATAAGACCTTAAAAATATCATAAGTCTATCATTATCTAATGTCACCATTTAAGAGCAATCTTTCAACAGCATGTGGCTGAAGGACTGTTTAGGAGAGACATGTATTCATACACCCTTTCTTTTTCTACCTTGTAAGGTCTTCTCATTGTTCCTGATGCTGCATCATAATTGAGCATATCCGTGGGGTCAATCCATTCATCTTCTTGAACTTTACTGCTCCCTACCAGCATAACTGCACACAACACCAGAGGAAACAGCATCCTGTATCACTGAATGTAACAAGAAATTCACATATTTAGGTCAGGCTGTAACACGCTGTATGAAAAAAACCGCAACAATCTTACACAAAAGAAGTATTCTCTGGTGCTGTTTAAAAACTCAGTTCTCCATTAAGCAGGTTAAACTTCACTTCCCTTTTTTTCCCCATGCCCCCAAGGAAATTGCCAGCAATAATATGCACCAATTAAACTGTACTACATAACTGGATCAATATAACTGGCCACAGATATCAGCAGGTGAAACACGGAGTTCAGTATTGCTAAATACAATAAACCTGTGCAGAACTCCTCCAGGATTCATGGCCAGATCACAAGCCCAGTCTCGTGCAATAACTCTTAGGTGTAAAACAGTGTTATTTGATAAGCAACAGAAACACAGGCTCTTGGATTGTTGGCGCTACATACAGTGTCTGCAGGAGTGCATGAACACAAAAATATGAATAATACAGGTGACAGCACATACATGACAATGGGAGCTAACTATCTAGGGCTAAAAGCACGATCACAAACACAAGCTGGCTCTCCGAATTTCCCGAGGAAGCACTTGGTACGGCCAGGTGTTCGAGCCTTACCCAACAGGCATCCCTACAGGGGAAGAGATAAGCACAGCCTGTCGACAGTCCCAGGGTACAAAGGTGGAGTCTCCCCTGACCTCCCATCCCTCGTAACCTATATTTCTATTGTTTTCTTTGAGGGAGGGGAAAAGGTTTCAGTTGATGCCATTTCACGTTTAGGTGGAGTCTGAGTGACTTTAGTCATACATGTAAAGCATGTACAGGTTTTACTTCATTAGCACACGTGGGGGTGTAAAAAGCGACACGTAGTTTCGAGTTAACAGAACAAAGTTCAGCTTTTGGTCGGTCACCTTTTAGATCATTCCCCGGCTTAGTTCCCGTTGGCGGCATTGTTTTAAACGGAGCACGGCCACACCACCTCCCTCCGTGCCGCTCCATCCTTTTCCCCGGCCTCCCTGAGAGCGATACACCGCGCTCCCCCAGCGGTCCCGCTCCTAAGGGTGCAGAACAGCTCGTCCCCGGGGAATTACTGCCACCGCACGCACTCCTGCTCGCTAACCTTTCACATTATTTTTCCACAAAGGGTCCAGCACGCCCGTCACGCAGAACAACAACCAAGGCTGGCCAGCCCTGCAGGGGCACCCCTGCCCTGACCGGGCGGGACGCACGGCCTGGTGCCCTCAGGGCGGCTCCGCCCGGCCCCGCACAGGCCGGCGCTGCCGCCCGGCCGAGCGCTGCAGGCGCGGACAGGGCCACAGAGCGGAGCCACGGCCGCTCCTCCCCCGCCCCGGCCTCCTTTATCTCGGCAGCGACACCACGCTCCGCCGAGACGAGGAGCCCTCCCGCCCCTCGCCCGGGCCCGGACACGGCGCAGGCCCCGGGCCCGCCCCGCCCGCGGTACCTGAAGGGCCGCAGGAATCTCGGCGTGTTTACCCGGCCCGGGGCCGCCCCACAGCCGCGCTCCTCTCGGCTCCTCCCGGCCCTGCGACTCCCCCCGACCGGGGGCGGCCGCCCTGCCCCGGGAACGGCTGCGGAGCAGCGGCCGCGGAGGCGCCGCCCCGGCCCTCAAGCGCCGGCTCGCGCTCAGGGCCCGCCCCGGGCCCGCCCACCCCCGGCCCCGCCCGGGCCCGGCCCCGCCGCCTCCGCTGCACTGAGGGAGCCCCAGCAACTCCCACCGGCTCCATCCCGCCCCTCTCCTCCTGTAGAGAGATTTTCGTTTCTTTCGAATCGCGTCCAGTCTCAGACAGACACAGAGGAGGACTTACCTTCGCTAAATGCGAGCTCAGTCACAAGACGCTGTGATGTAAAACAAGGGATGTAAATCTGGATCTGCTCTGTAAAGACCCAAGCTGGAATAAAATTAATGTCAGAAGACAGTATTTACATAGTTGTAGTACTAATTAAGTCTGCCAGCTTTGTCCACAGATAAACAACTAGAGGAACACTATTTTCCTCCAAAGCAGCATTATGTATGAAATACAGAAAAATACACAAGATCTGCAGCTGTATTATTATCACACTGAAAATTCAATATAGGGAAGCAGTATCAAAACTCTTGAGATTTTATAGTTCTGGCATATTAAGTCATATGTCTAATTCTGTATCACAGTTGCATCAAATAATTATGAACTAAGAACCCAAAATAACAGACAAAACAGATGCAGGTGTTGGAGGTCTTTATTGAGATTATAGCACAGATACACTTCTATATTTACCTTTCCACTTTTATACGATAGTTAAAAATGCTTGCTACAGTGCACATATAATTTAGTAACCAAGAGAATCCAAAACTTAACTGCAGTTCAAATAAATAAATAACCCAAAGTTTAAGGTTTATATTTTAAAAAGTAAAAGGAACTGTACAATATGAAAATATAACAATACATAAACATTAGAATCTAAAGTTTTGTAGAAATAAAACTGCAGTTTCCCATACATAAACAGTGCAAGAAATAAAATTCAGATAAGCTTCTGAACTGGGAATTTAAACAATTCTTAAATTATCATGCAGACATAGCATTTTAAGCCATGCTGGTTTCTATTACAGCATTAATGGTATCCCTTTTACTTGAAAAATTGATAGCCATTAAGCTCACCGTGACAACTGCTGCCAATCCACTCTTTTCTACAGTACATTATACACAGAGGTATTCTGTTGCATTCAAAAAGTAAAATATTACATGTTTCTACTGAAAAAAGTCAATATTTTACTTTTTCCCCCTCCAACATGTTAGCTTGTTCAAAACAATGTCATGTAGTAAAAACAGCAACATTTTTTCCAGGTTAGATGAAAAGAAAGAAAAAATCCCACACTATATAATGGACCATAATCAAGATGTGGTTGCTGCCTAGTCTGCCTTTAAAGTTCAGATGTTTTTACTAAAAACATTGAAATTGTGGAGATGTTATAAAGTTTGATCTCTTGTTGAGGAGTGATGAATACAATGAACCTGAAAAAACAGTGGAAGTTTTATGTGTGTGTGTGTGTGTGTGTGTAACTAGTTACATATAGACTTGATTAAAGTGTTGTTCAACTTAAGTTCTTTACAAAATTCTTATCGAGGCAAAGACCAAGGAATGCAATTAATACCAAACTGTAAACACATCATTCATGTTACTCTGAGTGCACATCAACAACATAAGAGTTCTCCTCATAGACTTTGGCAACAAGACTACAATAGGTCACAGCAGCATGAGTTCAACATGGAAGACTGGAAGCACTGCAAAAGAATATACTAAAAACACCAAGACCTCCTAGAAATCAGAAAAACCAGTGACAAGTGCCCCTCTTCTTGATAAGACACTCTCCTGCTCAACTGCTGCTCTCAATGCCTCATTATTAGTTTGGACAGTTCTGTAGTCTCAGGTCTCTGTGCTTCAGCTGCATAGGTTGCCTTTGTTTGCACTCTAACCATTGTAGGTCCAAAGGGTTACAGTCCTGTCTGCAGACGACGACAAGAAGGAAAGATCTTGCGTGTGCCATCTGCACTGGATAACTTTGTCCTTGTGCTCTCCTACCACCATCAGAGGAAGCTGCTTCGTGAGGTCCCCTGTGGCAGAGGAATAGAAATCATTAATCATTTCATGAATTTATACCCCAGATCTTGAGTGGATTTTTTTGTGGTTTTTTTTTTTTACCTGTTGTTTAGTGAAGCTCATATGTATTTCATCTTATGAAGCACTTGATCCCCCCCCCATTCACACAGACACAGCATAATACAGGGCCCCACTGTTTCAGTTTTTAGGTGTTACTGGACACAGTACAACTTAAAAATGCAGACCTTCACTGTTTTCACAAAAGGTGATTAAAGTTTAATGGCCCAAGAAAATCAAGTCAATTAGATATACTCGATATCTTCCCTCTTCTTAACTCTTTCCAACAAAAATAAAAATTATATACTTTTTTTAAAGTGTCAATTTTATGAATGCTATCTGAAAGCAAGGGCCATCTCACTAGGCAAGTGTTAATAATTTTTTTTACTGTAATGAGACCATAATCCCAAAAGAAGATTTAGTTCATAGCCTGCACTTTTAGCTACACAACTAGCCAGTTGCCAACAGACACAACCACATATACACACGTCAAACCCTTCAAAGCTCTACTGTTTTTCTCCCCGTTTAAAGTTAAACCTGATCTTGGAACCAAGATCTCAACTTCCAACATTAAAAGCACCAAATAGAAAATGAACCTATGATCCTTTGCAGCACATTACCTTGCAAGTCTGTCACCTTGATCTTCATATCGTATGACCCCGTGAGCAAGTAGTGAGCCCCCGGGGAGAAGCGAACGGAGCGAACGTCGCTGGAGTGGGGGTGGTAGCTCTGCACCATCCGACCTCCCCGGATGTCGTACAACATACAGCTGGAGTCCTCCTGGCCTGTAGCCAGGAGTCGCCCACTGGGATCAACAGCTACTGAGGCAACAGCACTGCCTGCAGGAGGAGAAAAACCCACACGGTCACACCTTTTAGTTCTGTGCATTTGCGCAAATAGCCAACTTTTTTTAAACCAGAATATACATTGTAAAAGAATACTGAATGTTGGCCTTAAATTTAAGGCGAACATACACAGCTACTGTTACTTTAGTATAACAAAATTGTTGTGTTCTGGCACTAAAAACTCTGAAGCCATAGGTCACACTGGAATCGTAGCAAAGACACTATTAGAGCTGCGTGAGAAAAAGTGTCTGTTCCATCACAGGAAAGAAAGTCACTCTTTATGAAATAATGTGGAATACTGCAAGGAATTCACCTTGGCCCTAATGTTTCAAGAATTTCAGTTATCATGTTTTATCTGAATGTATTTGGAAGTGTCTGCTTGAAAGTCGAAAGGCAAAAACATTACTCAATTTCTGAAAGGAAATGTTACTTTAAAAACAAAACACAGGTAAAGATTCCTCACAGCTTCTTTCTTTTAAAGCCAAGCCTCCAGTCTGTGGCACAACCCCCCCTTACATTCTGCCTATATTACCTTGATGTCTTCAAAGTCTATTTTTATGCAAGAATGTTCAGAAGCATGATAGCAACTCTTGCCTGTTCCATGAAACGTTGTTCCCACAACACGAACACAGCTTGGCACTCTCAAATCCCAAAATCTTACAGTCTTGTCTTGAGATCCAGATGCAATCATCCAGCCACTCCATGTATAAAGTGCTAAAATATGACCTGTGAACAAGAAGACTTCTTAAGTTGATTAATCATCATTAATCAAATACTGAAACACCACAGTTCAGATTATATTTTTGCTTTCAGAGATTTAACTATCCTGTGGAAAAGCTGCATGTTGCATGATCTAACACATCAGTGTAAGGCAATACCCACCTTTGCATCTTCTCTGGAATGAGGTATGCATTAACCCATTAAATTAACAGCCAACATATGTAAAAACAAACATTCCCCAGCACCCCTCAAAATACCTCAAGAACAATCTGGAGAGCAAAAAAAAGTCTTGCTACAAAGAAAAACACAAAGAATTTAAAAAACACCCCCAAAACAACCCAACAACTTTATTAGAACATAGTACAGGCTTAGAAAGTGTGAGAGAAGCCACAATACACATACCAGTATGACCACTCAGGGCATGCAGGCCTTGTCCTCGCTGACAATCTGTTGTGTAAATATTGCAGTCCCCTGCTCCAGCACTTATTAAAATAGCACCACCACTTTCTGGGCCTTCCATGAAAGCAAGGTCTCTGATTGTCCCATCGTGCATGCTGAATTCCAAATCTGGTCCTAAAATAATTTAACAATCGAGGAACAAAATAAGGCATACTCTGTTTGTTAGTGCTACACTCTTTAAAGCAGCTACAGTGATAATGCAGAATACTTTAGGCAAGGGTGGATATGGTACCAAGTACAAATATTGCTGTGCACTTTCTATAAAACACAATATTTCAGTTACTAAAGTTTAAATAAAATCCCTAAGAATCTTGTTGTTGAGTGTTGCTTGAGCTTCCTACTTCCTAAAGCTTTGCAAAACGACCATCACCACAGCCAATTGCAGACAAAGTTTACAGAGTGCGTTTATTTCTTTTTGTAAACTCTGGTAAACTCAAAAGGCTTTCTCTGCCCGGACAGAGAGGTCCTTGAGAGCACTGAACCACATAGGACAAGGCAGCCCAAGTTCAAAACAGAAAAGACAAGAACCATATTCACTGTATTGATTAGGAGGGTTGGGCATGGAAAGTAATATTTGCTGGGCCAGAAACCTTTTTAAGATGTGTGAGAAGACAGGGGACAGAAGTAGGCAAAAGAAAGGGGAAGTAGAAGTGGAAATAAATTCCTAGTGACAGTCAAGATCCAGAGGTGGGTAAGAACATCTGGCTGTTTTACTGCATATGGAGGAGAATCTGCCAGAAGAGAGCACAACACTGGAATCTTGCCAAAGAAAACAAAACCACAACCAACCAACCAACCCAAACAAAACCCAAAACATAATCCCCAATCTTGCAGTGGCTCTTTGCTGGATAAAGACTACAGTGATGGTGAAAGAGAAAAGAGACTAAAGTATTAGAATAAAAATAACAAAAGCTATTAAATACATAATCAATGTAATTTGAATGGTTTTGACAAATAATTGAAAATAAACTCTTTAAATACAGACACACAGTACCTGTTGCATTACAAGTTTCTGCATTAAAAGGCAGTACTTTCACATATTTATCATTAGAACCAGTAGCTAACAGCTGTCCACAGGGACTCCAGGCTACACAGTAGATTGATCCTTTATGATGCTTATTCCTTTTGAAGCGCACTACAGGTTGTTTAGGAGTATTATAAGCACTGGTAAAAGAAAAAAAAAAAGAAAACCATCAGATATCCTTTTATTTCTAAGGAAAACAAAGTATTTTAAAATGAAAATACTGTTTTTCTATTATTTTGAGTAACATGAAATTCATATGACTGCTTGCACTGAAACATATATATGTAATAATAATGGCCCATCTTCGCGAACGAAGATTTTGGGAAAGGTCTTTTACCTTTCCAGCCTGCGCAATGGATTTTTTAGGTGAGACACAGCCTGCGCTGAACTGAGCCCACCCTTTAATCCTAAGGTTCATCTGCCGGGGCCAAGCGAGCTTGGACAATGGCAGTGAGGTCCTCAGGACGTAGGTTTGTTTAGAGTGTCCTTCTCATAGATGGATGGCCACACAGGGCTAACGACCTCCATCAGGCCAGGAGACCGGGATTTGAACCCGTGGTCGCAGCAGTGAAAGTCCTGCACGCTAACCACTAGGCCACCAGGGGTGCTCTCATATATATGTAAACTAAGAGAAAAGGATCATCTCCATCCCATTTTCTCAGTTTTTCCTCATCTTCCCATTGTACTTGTGATTAAATATGCAAATGGACTTAGGCAGTCCCTTCATCTATGGAGGGTTGATACAGATAAAATATAGTAATTACTAGGTATAGTACAGTGAAGCCTTATCCCCAGAGTCCTAAACTGGTGTGATTTTTCTCTACATCCTTCATACTCCGACATCTTGATTCTATGGCCACTTTTGAATACGCTTGAGTTCAACTAAGCAACAGCAGGCCAAGAAAGCTCATAATGCACACACTGTCTGTGGTAGCACCAGTGCAGCTGGCATGGCTAAAAGCTGGCTCTGGGACTAAACCATCAGGTTGCAGATTGGAAAAATAAAAATTCCTGAAAAAAGAAGAAAGCACGAGCCTGTGCAACCTCTGTGCATGTGTACAGGAAGGTGCTTCCCTTCCAGTTTCCCACCCAACAGATTTAATCCCGAACTGGGGGCTGTGTTTGGTATGACAGCTTAATTATAAGCCACATAGTAGGTTCCATATACTTGTGTTTGGGGCTGTTTTGTGCCTACTAGTACTGCAACAATAAAAACTGAAGCCTGCTATTTTATCCAAAGAGTTGTTGTCTATGCCATTCTTGCTGTCAGAATAAGTGGGACTCATCAAGGACTTAAAGGATCACAAAAAATATTTGTTATCCCTGCCTGGGAAGACAAAAACCCCGTTACTCTAAGTCAAGTACTGTCTCCTTTTTGGCCATTAAACAAAAATAACCAAAAAAACATACAAAAGAAAAAACTCACTTATGTTCATCATGAGCTGTACATTGGATGTACTTGTTGAATAGAGTGACTCTAAAAGCTTCACTTCTCTACTAGAAAATTGAATACAGAAGCCTGTGTCAGAAAGACACATTCCCCATTCTACGTCAATGCAAGAATCTTCACACCATCTAAACACACCATACATTCCTATTTCTAAAACCACATCAGCTTTACACATGGTTGAAATAAAAGCAACAGTCCCACTGATGTACATTGCCTTAAGTTCAATCGATTACCTTCCTACAATGTTCCTTCTCTGCTCTCATAGCAGGAAGAAGTCAAGTACTTAGGATAAAGTATTGCAGTATCCACTTCCAGTGTTCACTCCAGTAACATCAACAATAGAAATCAACAAATTAAATCACTATTGAAAAAATTTAGAAACCATACTATAAATACCTGAAGAGGCAGAGAGAAAAGACAGAAGACAATCACCCAAGTCTGTTGAAAAACTTTGGAGATAAACATGGCTTTAGTAAAGAATACTAAAGTAAATCTACATGGAAGCTAATTTTATTTTGTTGCCAGAGAGGAAATCCATGACAGATTAGTGTAAATCAGGATCACTTAACACACTACAGAGCTTCCTAAGTGACCTAATGTCTTATCTTGCACTCCGAGTTTGGATCCACCACCTGTTAAGAGCTGAGAATCACTGACTTTGCCAGGATACAGGAGCTCAGAGACCACATGTTGCCAATCCACTGCATGGAAGCACTGGAATTATTTAAGCAACATCTGCAGAACTGTAATGTGTATCTATCAGTGTTTAATCTCAAATATGTAGAAGAAAACCCCCACACTACTATTACACTTTTAGAGAAAGGAATAAAAAAACAACTCCAAACCAGCCTGTTCTGGATCATACATCAGTTTGAAGGACAATTTAAAAAACTTTAAAAAGGCCCAATAAAGCTTCAAAGAACATCTGTTCTACACAATTATAGCTTTTTGAAAAACACAAATAATTTTGAATGCATGTCTGGACTCGTGTTGTTACAAGGATTAGAGTATCTTGAAGATAACGTAATGAATTGTTTCAGGGAAACTGTAAGCATAGTCAAAAACAACAGTAAGAGGAAGAATTACAAGTTCAGAATTAAGGAAATGTCAGTATTCCTTTCATGTCCAGATGCAGCATGTCACTTGTCACATCAGATTGTGCACTGCAACTAGAGACTAAGGCTGCAGAGTCACTCTAACCCTTCCCAGTGGTCTCAACAACCAGCTGTGCAGAAGCAGACCACAGTTAGTCCATAGAGCAGCATCCATTCCACTGGAAATGCTTTGCACTGTTTACCAGTCAAGAGGAAGCTGCCTGGGCTTCAAGCCCAGCAAGTTGGCTTGCATCATGTATCAGAGAAATTTTTTTTTTATGTTGTTGTGTCATACATTGCCAACAAATACTCTGGAATTAAACTTCAAAGTCTACCTTATTGATGATATTTAAGGAGGAAATTTTAAAAAAATCTGATTGCTTTTGAACACTTTGGAAGCCTGAGCATCAGTTCTAAACTGGGAAGATGTCCCAGATAAAGTCACTGTGCACACTTGCAGCTCGTGAAGTTTTAGATGCTTGCACTTCACCCCTACTCTAAGAAAATAATGGAAGTGGAACAGAGATAAGGAGATGGTTATTGACACAGCAATATTTATTTCCAGATGAAAAAATATATTTTCCCCCTCCTATTAAAAAAATGGGTGAAAAAACCCTGAAAATACCAGGTGCACAAAAAACCATAAACAGTGCTTTTCCCGTTAAGGAACCAATATACCTATAAAACAATGTTTATAGTAATAATGGGACAATAGAAAGGCTCTGGTATGTTTTGCTCTGAAAGTTCCAGAAGATATTGCTTTCTCAGCTGTGAAGTCTGTCCTCCTGCCAGAAACTGCATCTTGTGAAGCCCAGCTTGTGCTGGCTGGGAACTGACACATGCTTTCTCCCACTTTTACAGCTGGAATATCAAAACCAGAAGCCATCACACTTAACACAGAAAAGCCCAACTGCTGAGGCAAAACCAACACTTTATAAGGAAAGGTGTGGTATCATGGCAGTGCATCTTGACAGTAATGAAAGAGAACCAATAAGTAGCCCACAAATATACGAATGCTTCAGCAGATCATCTAATCTGGTTTGGCAGTTCAGGTTTCCAAGGAGAGCACTGCTCTATTTATGACAATAAAATAAAGGTATGAAAAGTACAGGTATGAGGAGAAAGAAGGGCTATGATACAGAAATGATTACACAAGCTTTCTTACCTTGGGTCAATTACTTCTGGATAGGCACAAACCCTCAAAGTTTTAGAGTTGGAGCCAACAGCATATAAACTCCCACTGGGATGAAAGGCTACAGCTCTGACAGCCTGTGTGTCTTCTAGAGTATTAATGCAAATGAATTGCTTTTTTGATTTGTCATCCTGTGTAGAAGGGTAACAGTCAAATTAGGGTCTTCAGTGTAAAACTGGACATTTACAAGTGGATGTGACTGTTTTGTGGAGAACCAAAGTATTAACAAGTAGCATCACACCAGGCTGAACTATTCAAAGTGCAGATTTGTAAAACAATGTCTACTCCAGGCCCAAGAATTGCATACTAGAACAAGTTCTTTTCTTCAACTCACTTTTACAGCTAACATTAACATTTCTCATTCCCCCTCCAGACTTCCATGCATTTTTTGTTCTTCTAAACAGCCCATTTCAGATGCACTATACTACAGTTTATTTTTGTGTAAACACATTTCATGTGTGAAACTTGCAAGGGGAACAAAGCTGCATTTTTACTGAAAACTGTCCAAGTCATAAACACAGTTTCTAAAACAAATATAATACTAAACAGAATCAGATTTTCACCCCGTATATAACATAGTTATCATTAAATTATGCTAAGTTTTATTACATCATCTCCTGGTGACTTCATCACCACCTTTCTAAGATTATGATTTTTATGCATCTGATGCAGAAACTTTTGAATGTACTTATTGCAGTTATTTCCCTGCTATTTCCCTGGCTTTTCAAACCATGGACTGAGTGGAGTCTAACAATCAAAGTTTCAACCTGGAAAATACAAAACAATGGTTGTAAAAGACATCCCACTGGAACTTCTGTTGTACAAGGAGAAGCTGAGAGAGCTGGTACTGTTTGGCCTTGAGGTCAAAAGGGTTTTTCAGGGTGTGAATGTGTACATCTCACCAGCGTATATAAATATGTGACAGGAGAAGTTAAGAAGATGGAGCAAGACTCTTCCCAGCAGGACCCAGTGAAAGGACAAGAGGCAACGGACAAAAATAATATATAGCAAATTCCACTTGAACATTTTTTTTGGTTTAAAAGCAGTATGAGGGTGATCAGACATGGGATGAGGTAGTCCACAAAGGTTGTGGAACATCCTCCATCCTTAGAGAGACTCAAGACCCAAGCAACCTGCTCTCATTGACCCTCTTTTGAGCAGTGGGTTTGGATTCAGTCTCCAGATGTTCCTTCCAATCTAAATGTTTCTCTGATTCTGCAGGTACTGCATTAATGAAAATTCCTTCTAAATATCTGTCACATACTCAGGATTAAATACCAAATCTTTTGATAACACAAGTTGTAAATGACAAGAAAACTCACCTCATCACCTCTTGTCCTAGCTAAATTCCCCAAAGCGTCTTCCAGCTGTGGCTGAGTGACAGCATGTTCTGATACACTGCTTTGATTTGGTGAAGAGTTTAAATTCATAACAAGACAAAAAAACAAGAGCAAAGACAGATTTATTTGTATGGATTTTTTGGACTAAAGTTACAGTCCGAATCAATCATTCTCAGAACTGACTAATCTGAGGACAAGTGTGTCTGATTCATCACCATTAAAATATTATTTTACAAGGGGCTGCTCTTTGTGCAGCAACTCCAAGCACTGAACAAGTGAATGCAAGTTAGAAATTTTTCATTCCATAACATACATAGGTATATATGTATACACATAAACACACACACAGAGGTGGAAAAATTACTGTTTCTTTCAGCACTACCATTAGTTAACAGAAGAAGTTCAGTTCCCATTCTGCCCTGCTCTCAAATAACTTACCTTTGGTTCCCCTGTACAGGTGACTGTTCAGGAAAGGGGATCTGATTGGTTGATCCACACTTTCGAGGAGTGCTTGTATTAACATTTGGGCTCTCAGTTGCTATCCTCTGACTGCCATCTGAGGGTGGTGATGTGAAGTTACTTGCTGGATTGGTAGATGCATTCCCTTTGCTCCCATTACATTGCTGGCTAAGTGCTTGTACATCATTTCCAAGACTGTCCATACCCATATTTAATTCTCCTAGTTTCTGGATAGATCTAGTAACAAATGACAAGAGAAAAAAAAAAAAGACCATCAAACCAGGTTATTATGAGAACTTAAGAAGAGATACAGGTGGGTAGAAGGAGAATCAACAAACGCCCCCAACCTGTTAAGAAACTGTTCAGTAAGATTCTGTTGCTGGTCAGCTCCATCTTCTTGATTCACTCCTCCTTCCAACAACATTTGCTGGTACAACTGTCGTTGTTGTTCCTTCTGTTCTAAGTGCTGCTGGTAACGTAGTCTTTGTCTGTAATATTCCTGAAACTGCTCTGTTGAATCACGAAGCTAAAAAGAAATGAGAATCACCGATGAAAATTAAATAGTTAATTTTGGTGTTTAACCTAAATATTTACTTTCTGATTCATTATTTCAACACAGGCATCAAAAGGCCGGGAGATTCTCCTCTGAGGAGTAACGATTTAATTCTTCCTTAAAACCAGACACAATTTACATATTAAAAAAAGCAACCACTGCCAGCCCATGCTATTCACTGTTGAAGCAGTTCTGCCATAATTCTGAAGGAGACTGCTCTTTCCTACAAAACTTCCAAAGTATTACTTAAGATGAAAACAAATAAATGATTTAAAACTGAAAATAAAAATCAGAAAACAACGTAAGCGACATTGCAAATTCCAAGCCACACTTTCACTACAAATTTAATATTTTCTGCCATGTTGACACCTCCCTGCCATCAGTCTGTGGAGCCAATCTCCCTCTCCCAGCAGCCAATTCTTAAGTGGTCTATCCAAGCATTACATCTTACATTTGAAATTGGTGCTCTGTCCTAACTTAAAAATTCTGTACTTTCTGGGCCAAACACAAACATCTGAACTTGCTTTCTCATGGTCCCTTCTCCTTTACATTCTGTCTTCAGCTCCCCACACTGCCAGCTGCCCAGGACTTGCTGCCTCCTGCATTCCCCAATCCTCACTTTCTGTGTCACTAGTTCCAAATGCCAACAGCTGAGGACAAGATAAAAACAGACAAACAGAAAACCAAAAGCACTTCAGTCCAAGGCCAGATTATCCACACAGAACTGCCCTACATTTTCTAAAAAAAAAAAACCAACCCTTAACTGCATATTTAGAAAACTAGTAGGAAACAAAATAGTAAAAGAAAGAAAAAACCTTGGTTGCTTTTTTTGTTTTCAAAAGCAACACCTTTGTCATCTATGAATTTAGGTTGTATAAGAACATCCTGATAACTCTGCATTAGTTCAGACAATTCATGCATGATCTGTCCTTTTAACTATGAGCTTTTGCATTTCCTCTAATTAACAATACTTGCATTATGATTTTTTGTTCTCTGACACAATAATTTTCTGATTTGTAATGGATTTTCTAGTGTTGTTGTATTTGCAAAGTATTTATAACCTTAGGTTTTCCATGGTGAATACTTGCAGTTTAGAAACTTCAAAGGAATCACTGGATGTCTAGAAAGCATTTATTCCCTGTATTTGAAATTTGTGAACTGTTTCTCTGTCACTGGGTTATAATCCTTCTAGGCAACAGGTACATTCTTGTCTATATTTCTTTCCATGACTGATACTTGTTTGTTACAATTGGATTCAATCCTTTGATCTTTTGGATTCCGTGCCATTATTACCCAAACTAACATGCAAATCTAAAATATGTTGCCCAGAAGCTCTAATCAATAAACTCTGGCTTCTAAATCAGTCTCTACAGGAACACTGCAAAAATAAAGCTATGAAAAAAACCCCTTAATTTCTTACACAGAAATTAATTCTTACAATTTCTTCCCGCTATGATGTGGGAAACAAAACAAGGTGAAATTGGACTGGGTACTACATTCTTTTCTACTTGTGTATAATAGCCTGGCCAACATCTTCACCACAGCATCTCCTGTCCTCATTCTCTCCTATAAATTCTGCATCTGCTCTTCCCTCCCAAGGTGCATACAAAATACTGTTGCAGCAGAGAAGCGACTCAAAGACCTTAATGGGAGCAAAGTTTAGCTGCACTGCTGATGTGACAAGGCACACTCATCAGCTGCATTACAAACTCAAACAACAGCACAACTCTATACAACGGGGAAAAAAAAAAGGAGTAGTTTCTTATACAAGCTGCAATATGGTATTTTTACTATAGTAAAAACAAAGATTCAAAGCAACCCATTGTCATGCATGAAGTTCTCCACACAAAGGCAAATCATTATGAAGTGATCAGAACACAGCTCAAAGGGCCTCATTATTTTTAAACAAACATCCACTACCTCATTTTTTTCTTGTTTGGCTGATCCCTGACTCTGTGCTGCATTGAGTGGTTCATTTTCTGGAACTGAACCTTGGCACAAAGCCTCACTGCCGATGGGACGCTGTTGCTCCACAGGAGTATCACTTCTCGCAGCAACATGGAAAAGAAGAGAAGCTTAACTGAGAAAAATTAGGAGTAGAAAACTCAAGTAGAGAAAGATAACATTCTAGAGTAAAATATGATGACACAAGTGTGCAAACTATTTAAGTCACATATAACTGAAGATATTGCTTGGGAAGAAAATGCCACTTGCAAGGGGTTACACTAAAAATGAAACTCCTAACAAACAAAAAAGCACAGCCATTGTGCTTTTTTCCCCTGCATTTTCCAAAAAGCCTTACCACCATGACATATGCAAACTCCCTATTTTCTATCCCTACACTCAAATTACATACCTTTTAACTAACAAGTTATTCAAGATCTCCCATTTTCAAAGCAGTTATGTGCATAAAATATATCTCATATACTATGTGACTAAAGATATTCCCTAAGATAATCACTTTAATTACCACTAGGAATCTAAACTTAAACTATGTTTAACAACCATCAGCTTGAACATTCCTGAAAGTGCAAGACAGAAAACTGTTTGCATCAGTTTTATTATTTTTGTATTTTAACTATTTCTGCATGGTACTCTTTCCAAAATGGCTGGGCCATCAGTAGACGTGCAGAACTCACACAGTCGGTGACTTGGAACAAAGTTCTTAATAAAGTTATTTTAAAACTTTTTGGGTACCTCTGTACAATAACAAAAGTAGCTCAGCTGACTAAAATATGATTGCTTGATGAACACAACTTGTAAGAGAAATACCATATTTCTGTCATGTGCAAGAGGAAGCAAAGGCCATATTTAAATAAAGCTCAGCTCCCACCCTTGCAAATACTGCCATTTAAGTTGCACACTTGATCTGAAGTTGAATTTTGTTCTGAAAAATGTAATGCCTTCTTGAAAACTATGGGTCTGGTGCTATAACCTAAGTCTTACCTTCAAGGGATCTAATATTAATGAAAAAAACATGTTAAAAACTATAAACTTAATTTAACATCATGTCAGGCCTACATAAAGAAGAACTGCAGCAATTTACCACCTTATTTAGCCCACAACATAACACTATTTGTGAGGAATTATTCTAGTACTCTAATACTGAAAAGGGAAGCAAAAACCTTTCAAGAATCAGTTTTAACATCGAACCCTGGTCTAAACACACAAATGTTAAGGTTTTACACGGATCAGTTAAATTAGAGGATTCACAATTCATTAGTATAATCAGGAGGTACACTTTGTAAAAATGTAACACCGGGGATACTTCCATAATAACTATCCACAAAAACTCCATTTGTGAAGAGGCTGGTAAAACCAAAGATTTTAATCAAACAATAGATGTCCTTTCAAGATAAGCATTAAGATAAATATTAACACATACATTACTGTAAGTATTTCCATCATCATTGGTGAACTGACATCAGTTTGATAGTGTTTGTTTCCTTTTTACTGAGTTTAATTACAGCTGCTCTTTACCATGACACAATATACAGAATACTGCTGCAAGGCAAAACTAACAGACACCAGCTGCAGTCAGGACTGACCACCCCAGCTCTGAAAATGTCTCCTGCTGGCCACTGCACCCACATGCAGGGCTAGCTACCCATCTGGTCCTCTGGAGCCAAAAAACCTGGCAGCTGCTTTTAGAGAAGCATAGATATTACATTTAGGAAGGGACAGAACAGCTGATCAAAATAAAGGCCAGGCAAAAACATGATGATAAACCTTCAACTGACAAGTACCACATCTCCTAATTACCAGGACATTTCTCTCAGAAGGTAAAAAAGCACAAAACTTTGATGCCATTCTTAAAGAAGACAGTTTTGCAATCTACACTGCAATCAAGAACTTATTAATAGCATAACCCAACTATCTCTAAGTCCAATACAAAAAACATCATACATTCAGTTGACTGACTCAGATTTGGTTTAGAAAATATTAAGTAAATATTTAAGCTGAAATACTACTGTAACATTTTAAGTGTTACAGGAATGCTACAATGACAGCATATTGTCATTTCCACTAACTTCATTGGGATATGCAAGTTTTGCAAGTATAGGTAATCATTTAGGATGTCAGGACTAAAATTTACAGAGACTTGAGGACAGAACGGAGAAAGAAGACGGGAGTTACAGCTATTCCACTGTCTCCGTTTATTTATGTGGAATGAAAGAATTCAGTGATACTGAACATAACTCTTAGCTAGACTCTATTATGTACTCAGAGCATACTGGTGCTCCGCGCTAGGATTTCAACTTTAGGAAAGCCCAGATTGAATCTATATGGTCCAAAACCAAACATGAAAATCTACTTGAATCATAAAAGCAGAAGGAAGAAACTACCTTACACAGAGTTTTACTGACAAAAGAAATCAAACAACCAGATTATATTTCAATGTTACAATTACGTTCAGAGTTACAGTGCCAGTAAGAACACAGTAATACCAACAACATAAGCCGAGGAAAAAAACAGAGCTCTAGTTGCACTTACCGCTCAGGTGACTCTTCAAAAATGCTGTGACACTCAGTATTCTCAAGCATGAGGCTCCTGCTGAGATTCTGTACTCCTGGGTAATGGAAATTAGCAAAGGAGTGCGACATTGGAGAAGTTTTGGTCCCGAGGTCTGTGACCCGCTTATCGTGGTTTGTTAATCCACAGGACAGCCCATCTAAGGCAGGGTTTAAGGAGCGGGTCATGTAAGCGTCTGCTGACTGAGGCCTTCTCATTGGGGACGATGGGTAAGGAGAAAGTTTGCTGATGAGAGGTGTCAAAAGATCAGCATACGCAGCTTTTGTAGGCTTGAGGAGTTTATCAACATGAATATTAAGCATCTTTTGTTCAAAAGCACAAGAAAACACAGTAGCTGGCAGGTTCTGCAGCCACGACAATAAGCTAAGGTCCAAGTCATCACACCCATTGCCACACAAGAGATCAATACCCAGCAATACTTCACTTTCTGTGATTTCTTCTCCTGTTGCTTTACTCTGACAGAATTCCACACAACATTCATAGAGCAATCCCTTCATGACCAGCTGGAACAAGCGGTTGTTACTTGCTTTGAAGCCAGCCTCGCTCAGCTTCCTGTCGGCTGGGATGAACTCTGCCACCATGACACAGGCTTCCTCAAAGCAGTGCACCCGAGCAGTGCTGGGATTCCAGTCCTTGAACTCGGCGTGGTTGGTCAGGCGGGGCAGTGTCAGCAGCAGGCAGAGTTTGCTGTAGTCTTCCTTAGAGGGACAATATTCCTCCAGCGCGTGCAGGCACTGCACTGCCTCTCGCATTGTGAACTCCAGCTACAGAAACATGAACGTCAATGGAGCCCTTCGTAGGACGTGTTTCCACAATAAAACAGCTGAACAGGCAGTAGCAGAGTTTCCCTGCTCTCATTAATTTATTACTGTTACCGGTTATATTTTAATTAAAAAGTCATACAATATAGTGCCTGAAATTGCTGATGCAAATTCCTAGACACTTTGACTTCCTAAAAAACCCCATCCAGTCCCACTTCCTAGAGATTTATGGAATGTTTTCATGTCACTGCAAGTTTGATAGGATTAAATTTTAAATCTGTAGCTGAACAGCTACAATTCTATTGTAGCACAGGTTACTTCCATTCTCAAAGCCAGCTGACTTATTTTCCCCTTTTCTTTTTTTTGTGAGAAGCTATTGGCATACATTATAAAAGGCTTATAGACTGCCCTAGTTTCCAGGGATTAGCAACTTTGAGTCAGCTTTTATACTGAGATTGTGCTCCTCAATCAAAAATGTTAAAAACATTCAGAGAGTTCTCAGAAGATAAGACCTCCAAATGAATAAAGGGCTTTATTACAAAGCCTGTTAATAGTCAAGAACCACGTTACATACACAAAACTTGGCACTTTTAGTTGCAAAGATGTTAAAAAAAGATAAAACTCCTCACTTATCCATGTTACCTAGATACTTCAATACAGCAGCCTTTCATCCACAACATGCCAACCCATTTGGTAACAAAATAAGGAACATTAGTATGTTTTTTTCTCATCTACTCCTGTCTGGTAACAGTATACAGATTGAGTGATTAAAGGAATAGACAGCTTCCATTTACAACTATGAAGATGGACTTTTAACTTTCTCTACACTGTCAAGAGAAAACCCTGCAGCACAATGTACATGTAATGGGACAGAGAATTAAAATCAATTCTGTTTGGAAAACAAAATCGATTACCTTAGAGCTACTGGCATTCTTCATTTTTAATTTCATAACATTTTACTGTTAGAAATTTGGTATTGCTGTATCCTCAAAATAAATGAAAAACTATAACTAAGTTCACAATCTGCAAACCTTCTTTGCCAGCTTGAGTTAATGCCTCTTTCCATATCAAAAACCTAAGTCCACAACTCCTGCTGTTTGCACATTTAACTGAAAGAGTCCTTTGTGAATACATCTGTTCCCTCAAAAAAAAAAAAATCCAAACAAGCCAACTCTGACCTTTCTCTCCAAAAGCAACAGAAATTAAATTTAAGATTCATTCAAATTGGAATCCTTTACCTGGCCCACATTATGAAAATAAATTTCTGCAATTCTGAGGCTTGCTCCAGAATAATGGGGGGAGGGGAAGAAAAAAAAAAAAAAAGGAAAAAGCCTTGTACTTCAGCATAATGGCCTAAAGTAAATCTGAGATCAGGACCACAAACACAGCATATGGTCACTGATCCATGCTGCAAAGTTTCAAACAACCCTTTTATATAGAATTCTATTTGAGACCTGGGAGCCACATTAATTTCCAAAGGACACCAATTATTTTTTCCAGTGCTTATGAAATCATTTAGTAATACCTAAAATTTGTGCACTTAATGCTGCCTTTAATCAGAATCTCTCAAGAGACCTCCTGACAACAAAAAAACTTCCCAAACCAGAGACAATTCTTACATGCTGAGGCTCATCTTCTGCTGACATCGCATTGTTTACACATAAGGCTTCCAAGAACTTCTGCTTCATTATAATGTATCGAAATCTGCAGGTGAGAAGGTAAATACTATACATCTTGCTCTAGTAGGTAAACTTTAGAGACATGCAGGGTATTTCATAGCAAATTTTTGAATTAGGCATAGAAACTGCCATGACAAGGAACTCTGATCTCAAACTTTAACAAATTGGTAACCACAACATTGTTTTTTTAAACAGGAAATGTATTTTTCCATTACTGCTTTCAGAAGTGTTCAATTGAAAATATCAGAAGGCTAGTATGAAAAGTACAGCAAAAGTACTTATTTCTTAAACAGCCATCTATTAGAAGATAGTACAACACGCACCATATTTCTAAAGCGTATGGCCAATGACACCTCATTGCAGATCCTGTGTGTGGATTTTATGTACAAGTTTAAAAATGCATGCATACACTTTGTGAAGAATATACAGGTTAGGAAGAAAAACCCCAAAACTAAAGTGACAAATTTACAACTACTGTTTTCATAGACAATAGTTAGAAATTCACATATTTTCCACAACTCAAAAAATTGAACTCTGACATACATTCTATTTTACCTTTTCTTGTCGAATTTTTCCATACATTCAAGAGGCTGAATGAATTGAAGAACCTCATCCCACTGACCATCAAGAATCAATTGCCTAGTAAAAGAAAGGATCATTCTTTGAATTACACTAGACAAGAACAACCTTTTTCAAGTAAGAAGTCCACTTAAATACAAAACAATAATTTAAATACACAAGTGATCAACCTGCTTTGAAAAGACAGAGCTTTGCACAGATGCCAAGAGGACTGTCTGATGTGACTAACTGCAAGAGCAAAATGTTTTCTCAATATTTTGTAAAAATAACTGCATACTAGAAGGACAAATATGAATTACTTTCAAAGGCACATCAAAAAGCACAAAATGGTCCTCTGTCTCCTGCTTTACCTGTAATTCTTATTTAAAAAAAAATAATCTTACTTGAAGACTTTAAATAAAGATATTATTTCAATGAATACATCTCAAAGAATGGAAGAGAACTGAAAAATTGGTCAATTTTAATTGTATAAATACTGCTGGGCCTATTTTATAAAGGGGATGGGTAAACACAGAGCTCCTGTATTAATAATGTGAGAGGAACAGTTTGGCAGGAACGATACCAGCACAAGAGCTCCAACTCCAAGATCAGTGGGCTGGACTGAACAGGTAGATCAGTTCAATTCATGCCCTCATAACACATACAGAACTCTCTATAAAAGGCCCAGACCTACAAGGAAGGGATGAGTTACTCCAACTGAGCTAAGAATTAACAAACAAACTGGATTAGTAACTTCCATCTTTCTGTAATTCTTCCTTCATTTCATTTTAGTCCAATATCCATAATTTTAATGAAAAGGGAAACCAGGTAAGAAGTTTTGCTCAGTGATAAAATGTATTTTTTACATGTTTTAAGAACAGCTGGGTAGATTATATTCTCATGCTTCAACAACATTACTATGTACCTTTGGCATGAAATACAAGACAGCAATGCTGAAAACTAGTGTGCATCTACGCTGATTATTTTTTAAAACATTGAGGGCAATATCCTGAATGGTAAATTGCACCAACTCTCATGCCTTGATGATAAAAGATACTCCTTTCATGTTGGTAAACTTAAGATAAATCTAGGTATTATTTTGAAATGCAGATAATATTTTTGGGGAAAAGCTTTGGAAACCACTCATCACTGATCTTAGCACTAGAACACTGTAAAAATATTTTAGTAGTCAATAAACCACATATTGAGGTCCACATGACCTGGTAAACTGATAACACATCACAGATACCAACAGGTCTTGCTTTCCCATACTATTCCTGCTTATGGTCTTTCCCTAGCTTACCCTGCACTAACACTGGCACTTGTTAAGAATCCTTCCCACTTAAATTCATTGGTGTGCCAGAAAAATAACCAAGTTAAAATGAATGGACAAGCAACCAAAAAAATCTAGCTCAGTGTATGCTGATGATGCCCAGTCACTTACTGCAAGTGGCTCATAGAAGGGTGTCACTAACTTCAGAGCTGGAACACATTCCAGGGCTGGACCACAGAATGGGATCAGGAAGAAGTAGCATAAGATGAGGGCATAAATTAAGATCTCCCACTGAGTGGCACAGGGTTGCCCACTGAATCACAGTCCAGCTCTGTTTTCATATATGTAGTATTTAAGCACCAGAAAAAGAAGTCCTACCTTAGAAAGAGCATGTCATCTGAAAACAAGCCATTAATGACCCCACTCTCTTTCTCAAGTGCCAACATACTGATGTGAAGTTTCCTTGAGTTCAGAAAATCTAGTATTAACTTAATTATTTCAGCTTCTTTAACGTTCACCGTTTCTTCAGCCGTCATGATGGCAGCCTAAAAGGAAAGAATTTTAGCTATGATCAGTATCTTACTTTATGCTTGATTAACAAATGTTGGCTACTAACAAAACAAAAATACAGTTTTATAGAACAGAATATAGTAGTGTTACAAAAATTAAATTATAAGATGAATTAATTGATTTTAAGAGGTCGACTATGAAGTCATAATTAAAACCTAACACTGCATCTGCAACTTTTTGATTTCTGTCCTATGCATATACAGGGCCCACATCAACAAATCTAACAAGAAATCAGTCCTCTTGCAGTGTGAAAATATTGTGCTTACCAAGCCTGCAGTATGTAAAATTTTCCTTTCTGAAATGCAAACAGTGAAGTTCAAAGAGCATAAGAGTCAGTTACTGTGTCATTATCTAGAGATCTCACATTCTAGCAGATGCAAAAGGCATAGCACAGTAAAATTGCCTTCTCTCCCTACCTTAATTTTGAAGTAGCATATGGCAATTAAGCCAGGGGCTTTCATTCTTCCTTCAAAAGGATGCCTATTTCTGTCTATACCCTTCATGAAGAACCTAAAGCTGCAAACCCAAGGTGGCCTAAGACAGTCTGCCCGCAGGCTGCCAACTCCCCTTCACTCACCTGCCTCCAGCTGCACATTCCTGGCCCTTCCCCAGCACTCCTCGCTTTTGTCATTGCCTCAGCTTTTCCACCAACACACATAAAGTCTCAGGGCTCAGGGGTCTAAGGAGCTGTCCAGCCAGCACAAAGAAGAAGCAGGAAGATGCAGCTGGGGCCCTGGCAGCCGGCAGTCACCTTGTTTAAAGCTCCCATAAGTACAAGGTCTGAGCTCCTCTGCAACATAATTCCTCAAAGGATATGAGAGTTCCTACTCCTGTTAGGAAACCTAAATTAAATTCTGCTTCTGGCTAAATCTTGCCTGAGTGCTTAAGTCTGACTTAAAGTAGAAGCTGTTGAACTTCCTTTTTCAAACTTCAAAAAGACTTTACAGTTGTACCTCCTAAGATGATCTGTAAGCTATCTGGGAATGTGGGGAGAAACACTATAACACAGCCAAGCCACAGGGCACTGCCTTATCAGGAGCTCTAAAAAAAAAAACAAAACCAAAACCAAACAACCACATAGCAGCACTCCTGTATACAAGAGTATGGTTTCACATCAGGAAGATTCCAGTGTAATTCCATGTTACTATTGCAGAAAAGGGCAGTCTCTTGTCACCTCTGCACTCAGCCACACATTCCCACACATCCCCAGCCACCCCACAGCAACCCCAGCTGGGCTGTGTGCTGAGCCAGGGGCAAGTTAAACACTTATTCACTCCATGGACACAAGGAACTAACAGAACTTTGCTTTCTGGCAGTAGCAAAGTCTTAACCCAACCTAAACTGATTATGAGAGTGCACCAAAAAACACAGAGGAAAGCAGTGATGAACCCTCAGCAGGAGGCAGTATCTCCAGGAACAAGGAGAGACAACGGTGCATCAGTGATCCAAAAAATGAAGGGAGATGACCACACAGAGCAAGATGTCCACAGCAACAGGTTTTAGTTCCCAGCTTCTTCCCCTTAGAATTCAAAGGGGAAAATAAAAGTACTTCTCAATTCCCTCATGCACTCATTCACTTATGCAGAAATCTAGCAACTAGGATGCTGAAAGATAACCAGCTGTGGGCAATGCAGCTCCCAAGACAGACTTCAGATATTTCAGCCTTAGAAAACTGGAGTTAATAAGCTAGTTATCTATCTCATATTAGGACAAGACACGGAGAAACTGAATAAGTTTGAATAAACCAAAGAGAACACTCAGAGTATTAACAAGAAATGAATTATTTACCAGAGGAGGGGAAGAGACATACTCCTGTGAAACTTCTCACTGATCACCATAAACCAATGCTAGTGAACTTGAAAGGATACAAAAACTTAGGCATTAATAACATGGTTTTTGCATTATTATCCAAACCCCCAAGTTCTTAATCTTTCTCACAGTTGTATGCCAACTTTTTTCCATGTAAATTTTTGCCAGAACATTTGAAGAGCAAAGCATTTGATTATAGCAGCATAGTTTATTTTGGAACAACAGAGACCTAGTTGTGCCAGATGAAATGGCCTAACTTCTTAAAATGGCTGGGTCTAATTCTCATTTTAGTCACAGAAGACTCCAATCACCAAGTATTTTGATGGGTCTCATGAAAGACACACCCAGAGACCATGAGCACACTCTTAGCTAGTAAAGTCAACGGGAAAAATTAAAGTCTGGCTTGCAGAAAGCTTTGCTGCAGGAAAGAAAGCTAGACCCACAAATCCAAATCCAGCATTTGTAGAAAGGTGCTTTTCTCCTTATATTTTAGCACTGTTTCAACTTCCCCCTTTGGCAACTGGATATGGATTTTTGGTCCCAGAGAAAAATTCAACCCTACTTATATACTGAAGGGGAAAAAAAACAACAAACCACACAAATTCAACCATCAGTTTAGTATTGACATCTTAATTCACAACCTCACCTGCAGCATTTGCATTTCTCTTTTATTATGCTTTATGGTACTGGTGGTTTTTACATAAACTAAATTAACCTCCTTGTCAAAAGACAAAGTAAAACTTAGGCAAAGCTATATTGAGACTCCCCATCAGAAAATCAGACTAAGACTCCCTTTGAAGAAAGGAACACCAAGTACAGCTTTCTTTTCAACTGGATCTACGGGACTCAAGTTGAAACACGAAGCCACCCTATACAGCTTCAAGCTTGCCTTAAAATTAATCATTCACATATTGTACTGATACTGAGCATAAAACTCAGTACTTGCTAGATTTTAGTTAATGTATTTGTACTCTTGAGCATCTGCAAGCAGTTGTCCTCCATTTTCCTCTTTAGATTTTTAAAATAACAGGCTTGTCCTGAACATAAAGCCTTTGACAATTCTAACACTTAACTTCATTTACACAGATCAGGGTAAAGAACGATTGCACCTTCCATATTTGATACAAGACTAGTAACAGCACTTTTGGCTACTGTAAAGAAAAATGTAATACAATACCCAAACCTAGTTTGGACACTGAACTTCTGAAAAAGAGCTGAAGCACACTGGTAAGCTCATACATTAACAGTATTATGAAAATATTTAGTGTGCATTTGCTGTCAGAGCAACACAAACAGCTAGAAAAGAACAGTAAACCCATTAGAGAAGATTTTCACGTAATTGAAGTTTTTTAGTCTGATGAGCTCAGACTTCTCTTATTATGCTGTTAAAGTAATAAGCAGCTCTCTGACACTATCATGAAATCATAAATATACATAGACTTACACATCACCCTCTATGAAATCTATCAGGTTTTCTCACATTCAGTGGTATATCTGTATGTGTATACATAAAAATAATAATAATTAAAAAGCAAAGAACAGCAGGGAAACTCAAGATTAGAGCTCAAGCTGCATCTTTGGTCCATCACACTGTATTGCTTTCTGCCAGCACATATGGCACATAACGTCACAATCTGATCAGCTCAAGCACTAATACTCAAGGACAACTGAGGCACAACATTAGCTTGAGGTATAAACGAAAGCAAATGAGAATTAGACCTTAATATTTCAGGTGCCTTCTACCAACCATATTTCTGCTGCAACCTTTTTATTCTACCCAGTCTTTGCAGAACAGTACTTCTCCACACCTGTCCTCCTTCCTTCTTTCTCCTGTTCACTCCCCCTTATCTCCACCTAGTTCTGTATTTAAATTTGTTTTCCTACATCAAAAAAAACAGAAAACTTCTTCCCACAAACCTGGCACATCTTTTCTCTGTAGCTTCAATGGACAAGACACCCTTCAAAAAAAGCTCTTTGGAACACAAAACTACCTACCACTAAATCCTCCAGAGAGGCTTCACTCTTGTTCTGTTCTTACGCATGTTCTAAGAACATGCCAACAGCAAGAATCCTCTCAGGGTATTATAAGCATAGAAAACAACTCTTAAAAAAATGTGAAACATATTTATATCCACTTATACCTTAAAATATACTATTTCAGGAAAATGTTTTTAAACTAAAAGCATCTAAACCAGTATTACATACTTTTTCTCTTTAAGTCACCTTCCTTAGAAAAAATTTAAAATGCATATACATTCACATAATGGAAATTTAAAGTTTAATATTCTGAACAAGTCAATAGTGAAATTCTACAATAAGCATTATTCCTGTGTTATTTACTAATTGAAACAGATCACTTGCCAATAGTACGCAATATACATTTGGAAAACTGGGCAAGGAATATAAAATCTGTAACTACTCTCAAATACAAGAAAAAATATTATAGTTCAAATTTTAAGTGTCATACTGTGAGAGCAGTGACACATTTAAAGTGAGACGTGAAGCCAAATTAGGAGCCTTGGTTCTCTGACTTCACTGACAGCTGCGATGCGTTACCCATCACCTCAGCATCCTGGTGAGCCATGTCACAGAAATCCCGAATGGGAGCAAGTCATACATATTTAAAAAGCTGGCTGTTTTGCATTAAGTTATTTCACCTTTTAATCCATCCCACGGTCACTTACATATGACTCTCGTGCCTGCCCAGAGGCCACTCCGGAGTTCCGCCCACAAAGAGCCCACGGGGGACTCGGGGCCCGGTCAGTCCCTACTGGCTCCATTTCTGATGTGCCCTCAATCATCTTCCAGTTCCTCTATATCAAAGGAATTTACAAAAAACAAACAAACAACACTACAGGCCAGATTTTGTTATCACAATTGACTTCCACAGCAGTCAGCACACTCACTGACACCCATTTCACCCTAAGATCGTACAATTCGTTATCTCAAATGAACTGCATTGAGCATATTAAGCCTTCACAGAAAACCTTCGCCAAACTTTACACAGCTGAACTCCATAATTGAAACCTTTCCTACCCCAATACACAGCAAATCGGTGTCCTCTTCCACACCTGCCTTTCCTGTCTCACACAGATTTTTCACTGGCTTGCCCTCTCGTAATCCATTTTGTTACCCTGCTTAGATCAGCTGTTGCTCCAGAGCCACCCGGTAATCCTGGTCTCACCACGCTCTGGAGGTGACCGCAGAGCCCTCGGCATCCATCAGTCCCTGTTCCCACACGCACACGCCTCACCCAGCGCATTCCGCACCGCGAATGACAAAAAGGTGACATTAAATTATGCAATACTTCACGTTAGAGTGAAAACAGAAGGCAGAAAAAAAAATAAAAAGCCCAAACAACTTCAAGAAACTAGGAATGAACGCATTTTGACTGTGATACCCCCACTTGCTCCAATACGTTCTTCCTCTTCACGCACGTTTCCACCCAAAATCCAGCTCCGCCGGGCTCGGAGCAGCCGCCCCGGCGAACTGCGCCGCGCCGAGCCCGCATCAGCATTTCGGGAATGTGAGCTCAGCACCGGGGCGGGCAGGGCCGCACGGCCCCGGCGCGGCTCCTGCAGGCCGGCCCGGGCACAGGGCGCACCCGCCGGGCTCCGGCCGCGCTGCCCGGCCCGGGGCACAACAAAGGGGCGGCGGCGCTCGGGCGGCGCCGGCAGCCGGGGCG